GGCTGTGGTCGTTTTGTGCGCGATTGGTTCCTTCTATGTGTTTTGCAACAAGTGGTTGTTCCTGTGTGCGTAGTTCTATGCGTTTCCTGAAGCTGTGGTTGCAGATCACATTGGAATGGCTGCATGAATGTTGCATGGGCTATGTTTTGGGGAGGAAGCCGGAGCACGAAACCTTGGTTTTTCCGTGTAAAGTGGTTGCAGACCACGATGAAAGGTACCTCGTGTGTGCGACGGGTGCGGCTGCGGTCGTTTTGTGCGCGATTGGTTCCTTCTATGTGTTTTGCTGGTTGTTCCTGTGTGCGTAGTTCTATGCGTTTCCTGAAGCTGTGGTTGCAGATCGCATTGGAATGGCTGCATGAACGTTGCATGAGCTATGTTTTGGGGAGGAAGCCGGAGCACGAAACCTTGTGTTTTTCCGTGTAAAGTGGTTGCAGGCGACGATGAAAGGTACCTCGTGTGTGCGACGGGTGCGGCTGCGGTCGTTTTGTGCGCGATTAGTTCCTTCTATGTGTTTTGCAACAAGTGGTTGTTCCTGTGTGCATAGTTCCATACGTTTCTTGAAGCTGTGGTGCCAGATCGCATTGGAATGGCTGCATGATGTTGCATGGGCTTTGTGTTGGGGAGGAAGCCGGAGCACGAAACCTTGTGTTTTTCCGTGTAAAGTGGCTCCACCGGCGATGAATGTTGCTTGGTGCCGCGGCTGTTTGCGCAATACTATTGTCTTTTGCAGCTGAAGATCGTAAATCGTATTGGAGTGGCTGCATCCAGGCTGCGACAGTGATTTGTCAGCAGATTTTCGCAATTTTGGTGCTAGCAATTTTCCTTTTAAATTTCGTTTAAATAATGCTTCAAAATCGTTATTTTTCGCTTTGGCGTCGAGATCCGGTTTTGGAGCTGCAATTTCCGACGCCGTTGCACGTATTTCTATTGTGTTTTGCAACTCAGTCTCTGCAGATCGCGTTGTAATGGCTGCGTCAAGGTTGCTTGGTGCCGCGGCTGCCTACGTAATACTATTGTCTTTTGCAGCTGAAGATTGTAAATCGTATTGGAGTGGCTGCATCCAGGCTGCGACAGTGATTTGTCAGCAGATTTTCGCAATTTTGGTGCTAGCAATGTTCCTTTTTAAATTCCTTTTAAAAAGTGTTTCAAAATCGTCTTTTTGTCGCTTTGGCTCCGAGATCCGGTTTTGGAGCTGCAATTTCCGACGCCGTTGCACGTAGTTCTATTGTGTTTTGCAACTCAATCTATGCAGATCGCATTGTAGTGGCTGCGTCAAGGTTGCTTGGTGCAGCGGCTGCATGCGTAATACTATTGTCTTTTGCAGCTGAAGATCGTAAATCGTATTGGAATGGCTGCATCAAGGCTGCGAAAATGATTTGTCAGTAGATTTTCTCAATTTTGGCGCTAATAATTTTCCTTTTAAAATTCCTTTTAAAAAGTGCTTCAAAATCGTCTTTTTGTCGCTTTGGCGTCGAGATCCAGTTTTGGAGCTGCAATTCCTGTTGTGATTATGTACAAGAAAGCTTCTCTGTGCAAAAACTTTTCTGTAAAAGCTTGCTGTGTGTAAAAGCTTCTCTGTGTGTAAAAGCTTCTCTGTGTGTAAAAGCGTCTCTGTGTAAAAGTTTCTGTGTGTAAACGCTTGCCATGTGTAAAAGCACTGTGCGTAAGTGTTCTGTGTGTAAACGCTTGCTGTGTGTGAAAGCTTGCTGTGTAAAGCTTCTCTGTGTAAAAGCTTGTTGTGTGTAAAAGCTTCTCTGTTTAAAAAGCTTGCTGTGTGTGTAAACGCTTGCCATGTGTAAAAGCACTGTGTGTAAGTATACTGTGTGTAAGTATTCTGTGTGTAAACGCTTGCTGTGCGTGAAAGCTTGCTGTGTGAAAAAGATTTTGTGTGTAAAAACTTGCTGTGTGTAAAAGCTTCTCTGTGTGTAAAAGCGTCTCTGTGCAAAAGTTTCTGTGTGTAAACGTTTGCCATGTGTAAAAGCACTGTGTGTAAGTGTTCTGTGTGTAAACGCTTGCTGTGTGTGAAAGCTTGCTGTGTGAAAAAGATTTTGTGTGTAAAAGCTTGCTGTGTGTAAAAGCTTCTCTGTGTATAAAAGCGTCTCTGTGCAAAAGTTTCTGTGTGTAAACGCTTGCCATGTGTAAAAGCACTGTGTGTAAGTGTTCTGTGTGTAAACGCTTGCTGTGTGTGAAAGCTTCTCTGTGAAGAAGCTTGTTGTGTGTAAAAGCTTCTGTGTGTAAAAGCTTCTCTGCTTGAAAAGCTTGCTGTGTGTAAAAGCTTCTCTGCGAAAGAACTTGATGCGTGTAGAAGCTTTGTAGTACAAAGTAGTACTGGAACGTGTTTTGTGCAAGCTTTGTAGTACAAAGTAGTACTGGAACGTGTTTTGTGCAAGCTTTGTAGAACAAAGTAGTACTGGGAAGTGCTTTGTGCAAGCTTTGTAGTACAATGTAGTACTGGGAAGTGCTTTGTGCAAGCTTTGTAGTACACAGTAGTACTGGGAAGTGCTTTGTGCAAGCTTTGTAGTACAAAGTAGTACTGGGAAGTGCTTCGTGCAAGCTTTGCAGTACAAAGTAGTACTGGGCAGTGTTTTGTGCAAGCTTTGTAGTACAAAGTAGTACTGGGAAGTGGTTTGTGCAAGCTTTTGTAGTAGACATCAGTATTGGGAAGTACTTGACATAAAAATAGCCAAGAAAAACTTAGTTGACATATGGGAAGACATGGAATGAGATGAGAAGAGCTCAGATGAGATGAGTTGAGATGAAGTGCAAGTGTGAAGTGTGGAGTGTGGGGTGTGAAGAGTGCAATGTGAAGTGTGAGGAAAGTGTTTGCACTGTACCGGGGTCGCGCGCAGGTCATGTTCTTGGACAGCAACACTGCAACAGCTTCGCACAAAGCACGCACGCACGGGCCTGGCTGGCGCACGGCGCATGCAAGTTCCTTAGTAGTAGTACTGGGAAGTGATTCATGAAAGCTTAGGTGACATATGAGAAGAGATGAGATGAGAAGAGATGAGCTTGGATAAGGTGAGAAGAGCTCAGATGAGATGAAGTGTGGAGTGTGAAGGGTGCAGTGTGAAGTGTGGGGCGTGAAGAGTGCAGTCTGAAGTGTGGAGTGTGAAGAAAGCAATGAGAAGTGAGAAGTGTGAAGTGTGGACTGTGAAGTGTGAAGTGTGAAGTGTGGAGTGTGAAGTGTGAAGTGTGGATTGGGAAGAGTGCAGTGTGAAGTGAGAAGTGTGGAGTGTGAAGTGTGAAGTGTGCAGTGTGGAGTGTGAAGAGTGCAGTGAGAAGTGTGAAGAAAGCAGTGAGAAGTGAGAAGTGTGGACTGTGAAGTGTGAAATGTGGAGTGTGAAGTGTGAAGTGTGAAGTGTGGAGTGCGAAGAGTGCAGTGTGAAGTGTGAAGTGTGAAGTGTGGAGTGTGAAGTGTGTAGGTGGAGTGTGAAGAGTGCAGCGAGAAGTGTGAAGTGCGAAGTGGAGCTTCACATGTGACATGTGAAACAGGACACCACTGTCACAGAATGCACGCACGCACGGGCTTGGCTGGCGCACGGCGCATGCAAGTTCTATAGATGAGAAAGGTCTTATATATATCTTTAAGGCAACTTCCGCCCCGCCTCGTGCGGGTACTACTGGTATGGTACAAATGAATATGTCTACTTCCTATCTTTAGTGTATTTCGCAGCGTTAAAAAAATGTGCTTGATATTGCTTGGTCAAACAAGCAGGCGAAATGGATTTGTCAGCTGATGATTTTGCTTTTCTCCTCGGAAATTGTGTGTTTAATCCAGCAAGAAAGAATGTGCTGCCAGGTACATTTGCCATTGTTGTTGAATTTGAAGCACAGGGGACGCCTGTCCGGCGTTTTGACGTGCAGCTTCTTTGCTGGCCGCACTCCTTTCCCCGGGCCCTTTCCTCCCTTCGCCGTGCGTCGAAGTCCCGGTTGAATGAGCTGGCTGGCTTGCTTGTCGATGATCCTGATGCCGCGCTTGCTGTGACCTTGGGTGCAACGACATATACTGGAGCGGGTCGTAGGCTTTCAAACGACCCGTTCAATCCTCAAGCCCTTCCAGTGTCGGGACCTTCCCTCTGCGGATCCACTGCAGGGCCTCTTGCACATCTCCATGCGGTCGGATGTGGTCAGAGAGCTGCCGGTATGCTTCAATGATGTTGCCTTGCCACATCCCATTCCGGTGCTTCGTCCTGCTCATCTCCTGTGCAATGCGGCGCCTATGGCGCAGCAGCCTCAGCTCTTCCGAGGGTCAACGCGTCATCTGCGCACATTGAAAGCGAGTCATCTGCGCACATTGCAAACGAGTCATCTGCGCACAGAGAAACCGCGTCATCCGCGCACAAAGAGCGGTCATCCGCGCACATTGAGGCTGGGAACCAGCCATTTCGGGTTTGGTTGGGGGGGGGGGGGGGGGGGGGGGGGGGGGGGGGGGGGGGGGGGGGGGGGGGGGGGGGGGGGGGGGGGGGGGGGGGGGGGGGGGGGGGGGGGGGGGGGGGGGGTGGGATGATAACGTTCATGTTCCTATGCACACACAGGCACAGCAACCTCATCATCTTTCTTCCCGTAGAGCAGAGACAGGCACAGCTCTTTCATGATGAGTTACCGGTGGGGTGGGGTGAGTTAATAAGGTTCATGTTCCTATGCCTGCACACGCACAGCAACCTCATCATCTTTCTTGCTGTAGAGCATTTCCTCGCACTGCTCTTTCATGTCATCATCTTTCTTGCTGTAGAGCATTTCCTCGCACTGCTCTTTCATGATCAGTTCCCGTGGGGGTGGGGGGGTGGGGGTGTTATAAAGCGTTCATGTTCCTCTGCATACAAGCACTGCAACTTGATCGCCTCTCATCTGAAGCCTGCAGATTTTTACCCTGAACATATCTTGTGCAGGGGGCGGGGATGAACCAAAGCGTTATGTTCCTCTCTGCGTCACAAAATCTGCACCTCGAAGCGCCCGTCATCTAAGCACTGCACCCTTGATGAGTTGTGAGATGAGTTGTGTGAAAGAACTTGGGTGAACTTCAGTGAGAGAACACGAAACCAGCTCCACCAAATGGCACACGAAAGCAGCTCTTGAGTGAGTTGAGTTGTGTAAGATGAGTTGTGAGAGATGAGTTGTGTGAGATGAGTTGTGTGACTTGTGAGATGAGAGGGGTTGTGTGAGTTGTGAGATGAGTGGAGTGGTGTGAGACGAGTTCTGTGAGTTGTGAGATGAGAGGAGTTGTGTGGGATGAGTTCTGTGAGTTGTGTGAGACAACTTGGGTGAAGTTGAGAGAGAAAGAAGCAACTCAGGAGGAGAAGGAGGAGAAGGCAAGGAATACAAACCTAAAAACAAAAGCCCCACACAGAGATGTGAGGAAAAAAACATAACTTGATGAGTTGTGTGATGATGTTTAAAAAAAAAGCTAGAAGAAGAATCATGTTACAGAGATACAATGACAAAAACACACAACAAAAACGTGCACAGACGACCAACCGTCTGACGTGCACAAACGACCCACTTTTGACGTGCACAGACGAACCCTGAACCCTTCCGAGTTCGCAGCGGCATCCCGATTGGGTTCCGGTTTGCACACCTTTCATCTACAGGAAATTGGAATTTAAGTGGTCAAATTTAGGGATTCAATGGATTTACATCTGAAGTATGAGAAGTTACCACAATTTACGGGGAACTCATTAGCAAGAGTTCATGGCAGAAACATTGGGATTGGACTAGCAGAGATCGGATCGAATGAATTTTCTGGTTCCCAAGCCTGGCCGGAAAGTCACCCATGGCTTTCCAAATTTACATACACCTGGCCTTGAAATGTAATGCACTAAAGTAGCAATTGAATTACCCAACAATTAATCGAGAGAGGCGCGCGTCCCACGTCCTATCTTTGATACATGGCAAACAGAGAGTATTAAAGCATCTGTCTAAGGTTGGTTTTCTGCACATCTCATGGCCAAACTTAGATAGCCTGCAAAAAAAATGTTTTAGCTGGTTGGTAGATAATCTCATTGATAGCAAAAGACTAAAGGATTAGTTTCTACCCATCTAAGATTGACCTAGCCTACTACAATGTGGGGCCCCCTAGATAGCTAAGTTGGTTTATAATTCCGATAACTATGGTTTATCATACTATGGTTTATGATTAAACTACCCAACTACCCATCTAAGATTGACCTAGATCTGTTGTCAAGCTGTCGCCCAGCTATGTTTACTTCGCCTTGGGCCGTGTCAGGTCCTCTGAACACTGGCTATTTGTTGGGGCCTTGGGGCAATAGTAACCCCAAAAAACATTGGAAAACCCATGGCCAATCTTTTTCCCCTCTGGCAATGAAGCATAGCTATGGACAATGACCCATTTACCTACTAAAATGTGGTTTCCACAGCTATAAACTAGCAGAGGGTAGCTGCTTAGGAAACATCCCACCTGACCCTGACAGCCGAAAATTAAAGTACCAAGGTTACAAAAGTCTTCCCGAGTGGCCACACACACAGCTTGGTTTCTTGGGGTTCCTGAAGCCATACAATATGCTTTCTGTCTTGAATCAGCCGGCATCAAATGTATGGTTCTCTCCATGCCCCAGTAGTGGCCTCCACCAGTGCAGCCAAAGGTTTCATTGCCTGCCTCGGTTTTTGCAATAGTTGTTTGATTTTATCCGACATTCGAGTCATGGCAAACTTCAGACTCGAAGTCATTGCGAAAAAACAGCTGATGAACCGACCAAACCAAATTCCACCTAGCAGGATGATTCTTACCAAAAACTCTAGAGACTGTAGTGTTTTAACCAAAGTCATCAACCACGTAATACATATAACCAATACCAAAATCGAAAATCCCGTGCCCCCTTTTGCATTCCATGCTCTCAGAACCAAGATGCAGTAGACCGTCCCATTCTCTCCTAAGCATCAGGTGCAGTGCTGGGTGGGGGGTGGTCCAAGGCCACTCTGGTGGTTGCAGCTGGTGAGGCGCAAGGCGGTGCCCCATGTTGTGAGGCGCAAGTGGAAGATTTAACCAAAACAAATACAGTGTTAATCAATAAAAATGGTGAGTTACTTACTTATGATGGCTAAATTGATTGGAATAACTAGCTTCACTGGTAGGCATGTGGTGACTGTAACTAGAGCTTGTTGAGTGAACATATCACTGAAGGGCACTTTTTTTATAGGTAAAAACCAGCGAACAGGGCCACAGGGTATCGACTTAAAAAATGTGGACTCCACTCGACTGTTAATCCCAGTGAGGGATGCGCAATGTGGCAATGGAAAATGCCTCCTAGATTTGCTGAGTCGGTGATTTCCCCCAATTTTCCCATTGGTAAGAATCCACCATTGGAGAATTGGTACAGCACATGTTTTACTTTGAGAATGGCTTGTTGCCAGCGCTGGAAAGTAAGCTTTCCTCATGTTCATGTATCCTTTGGGAAATAGTCATAATCAAACAGGATGTTTAAAAGGAGGAGGCCTGACCCAGAAAAAAAACACATACTCAGCTGTGAAATGAACTCCTTTAGAACAATGAACAATGGTAGTCATTAGGTTCAATAGAAGGGGCTTGTGCAAGGACAACAAAAAAACATAAGATCATGATATATATTGACAAAAACATACCCTATAGTAATTTAACGTAGCTATGGAAAGATCCACCATGCTATTCATGGGAAAACTCACTATTTCGACTGGGCCATTTTCAATTGCTATAAAATGTTACAAATTACCAGAGGGTAACCATCAAACAATAATACAAATATACAAACATTTGGTGATTTCAGCGCTGGTTCCCCAAGCCTTTCAGCACATCCGAGGAGTGGCTGGTGACTTCGTGAGGACGTTCTCCGTCAGTCCCAGATTTGATCAGTGGTGGTGCCCCAGTTCGTTAGCTAAATTGGTGAACATAACTCCAATGTCACTATGGTTTATGATAGGTATATCTATACTTACTATGGTTTATAAACCAACAAACATCACTGGGGGGGTACCACCTTGTAGGGTTTTCCTAGAATCCAGGTACCCCCCAAAACATCCAAAATCATACCGATACCATTAGTTTTCAAAAACCCATGGTGACTTGGGATACCATCTCGGGAAACCTTCATATTTCGCTCAAGAATCCAGTAGCAGTTTGAACCTCCAGTCGCCACTGATTCCCGAGTTATCTCCGCCCAAAAAACCCAGTGGCTTTGCAGCTTTCCCGGACACGGGCGCCAGAATTTCACTTCCGAAGTTTGGAGTGTGGGTGAAATCACCTGCCATGTCAACAGAAGAAACCTGGTGTTGGCTGATGATTTTTTTTACTATCTTGGGGAATTTCAAAAAATATTTACACCCATTTAGATACACACGTGTATATATATATATATATTATATGTTTACATAGTGGGTTAATAATGGATATCATCACACATGATTTAAACAACATTCAACAACTGTTTGAACGAATTTTCCAAATCATCAAACAGTGCTTCGGTCGGCGGCCATTGTGCTTCAGTCAGCGGCCGGACGCCTTCTGGAAGACATAAACCGAATGAACGATACCTGGGAAGGTAGGGGAAGGCCCGCTGAAAACCACACGGACCGCGTGAAAAAAAAGGGTGTGTATCTTCAAAGCATCGCCATCTTAATGGAGACACGGAATGATTGATCATTGAAATAGCTTTAGTGTTTTTTAAATTCAGGCAAGTCTATAGTTTCATTATGTTTCGAGCAAAGAGCCAGAAATTCCTGCTCGTAGACTTTGTACGTGTCAAACCCAAGGTCTTGGCCAGGTGAACTGCTAGGCTGGATTTGCCGACATTGGGGGCACCTGATATTACGATGACCGACTCAGCAAGTTTGTCCAATAGCAAAGGGTACCAATCGGCGGACGTCACTTTGACAGTAAGCTCTTCCACTGTCGTGACGTGGCTCTGCCAGTAGCAAAGGTCTCTCAAAATTCCCCGCAAATTGCTGTTGTCGATTTCCCCAACTCGGCAAAATCTGTAGGACTGATTTCTTCTTGTCCTTCAAACAACGTTGGAAATGCAAACATCGGGCGGCGGAATGTGGCCATTGTTACACAGCTAACATTGTTCACGCCAACACGGCCACCATTCATTTCTGGATCACTTTTGGACATTTCCTAATTGGTAGGGGCTAGTCCAATCATGAAAACACATACACCACTTTTAAAGCTTGCGACTGGTAGGGGGACTCAGCATTTTAAGAAACCACCAGATGATACTGTGGACCGAACCGTATGTATGGATAATTCATAATGATGAATTAACCTCAAAAGTTCAGGGTTCTCTGGACGATGATTCCCCCCATAAACATCCATAAACCATCATTTATTCAGTTACATACCCTCTAGTCAAACATGGCAATGAAACATCACCCATCCGTAGATGCCGCAATGCCCCTTAGATGCAATTTTTCAAGGGACTTGCCAGCTAGCCATGTGTGATTGTCAGTAATGCGCCGAAAAATATCATGGAGTTTCCGGAAGGTCGCCAGGAATAGCATCTAATTACCGATCTTGAAGCAGCAGAAATCAGGCTACAAATGAAATTGGAGAACGTTTTATTAAAATACCAGTCTCAACTTCCCTTCTGGCTAGCGATTTAGCCGGAAACTGTTGTTTTTCCCCACCTGCCAGGTGAGGGTTGTAAGATTTTATCAGAGCGCTCTTCCTCCGCGTCCTCGTCCTCCTCCTCGTCCTCCTCCTCCTCGTCCTCCTCCTCGACTAGCTGTCCTCTTCCTCCTCGTCCTCCTCCTCGCCTCCTCCTCCAGTTTCTCCTCGACCATGTCTGCATCAACTTCCACCTGCACTTCCGCCTTGCCAACTCTTCGCCCAGCTCTTTGCCAACTCTCTTCGCCGACTCTCTGCGCCAAGCTCTTTGCCAACTTCCCAGCTCAGTGTGCACCGCTGGACCTCAACCTGGGACCGTTCCAGCTCAGTGTGCCACGCTGGACCTCAACCTGGGACCGTTCCAGCTCAGTGTGCCACGCTGGACCTCAACCTGGGACCTTCCCAGCTCAGTGTGCACCGCTGGACCTCAACCTGGGACCTTCCCAGCTCAGTGTGCACCGCTGGACCTCAACCTGGGACCTTCCCAGCTCAGTCTGCACCGCTGGACCTCAACCTGGGACCTGCACAGCTCAGTCTGCACCGCTGGACCTCAACGGCCAGATAGAATACCAGAAGATATGCCAGATAGAATGTCAGATAGAATGCCAGAAGATATGCCAGATAAAATTCCATGAGATATGCCAGATAGAAGGCCAGAAGATATGCCAGATAGAATGCGAGAAGATATACCAGATAGAATGCCAGAAGGTATGCCAGATAGAATGCCAGATAAAATGTCAGATAGAATGCCACAAGATATGCCAGATAGAATCCCAGAAGATTTGCCAGATAGTATGCCAGAACATATGATATGCCAGATAGAATGCCAGATAGAATGCCAGAAGATATGCCAGAACATATGCCAGATAGAATGCCAGAAGATATGCCAGAACCTATGCCAGATAGAATGCCAGAAAGAATGTCAGAATATATGCCAGAAGATATGCCAGATAGAATGCCAGATAGAATGCCAGAAAGTATGTCAGATAGAATGCCAGAAGATATGCCAGATAGAATGCCAGATAGAATGTCAGAATATATGCCAGAAGACATGCCAGATAGAATGCCAGATAGAATGCCAGAAGATATGCCAGATAGAATGCCAGAAGATTTGCCAGATAGAATGCCAGAAGATATGCCAGAACATATGCCAGTAAGAAAATGTATAAATGTCATGGTGGGGATCACACGAAGTAAAGTAATTCTTTCCACACACCGAATCTTAGATGCCCTGCGCAGAAAAACCAATTGGTTACTTCTTACTTGGTACACATAACTTGCAGACCTCGCCGAAAGCTCGTTGACCGCCGGTCAGCAGATGATTTGTTATCTCAGAACCTGTTTTGGTTCACCTGTGTTTCGTGGAGTGGTACAAATTTGGTTTGAAGAGAGAACCAAAAAACAATAAGACAATTCTTATCTTTGATCACGAAGCAGAATCAAAGCGGAAGGCACTGAAATTTCAGCCAAATGTACCCTGGTACCCATCTATCGCGGAGTCTGCAGTATTAAGCTACCCATCCGGTTGGTTTTGCCAGTTTTAGCAGCTATACATCCTTTTTTGCTGATTTCCCACCTGTAATGGATGTTTATCACCATTTCAATGGCTATATAACCCATCCAGTTGGTTTCCACAATTATTGAGCCATTCATAAACCCATTCATAGCCCCATTCCTGCCTATCATTACTACCCTCTGATAATTAAACATAGCAATGGAAAATCCACCGTTTATAGATGTTGTTTCAAGCTATAAACCTCTATTAACACATTTCAATAATGATTAACTAGCCACGTTTGATGACACCGGAAAGTATATCCCAATGCATCACTGGTTTTCCCCATAGATACAACTATCAACCATTTTATCATGTTTAAAAGACTATTATTCATTTTCATGACTATGTTTACCCTCTGGTGAACTAACATAGCTATGGAAAATCACCATGCTATTAATGGGTAAATCCACTATTTCTATGGTCATTTTCAATGGCTATGTTACAAATTACCAGAGGGTAACTATCAACCATACGTATTGCTGAACCAGTCGATCATTCGCGACCGCTGGACACCATGTCTCGTCCCAGTTGCTGGTGACAAGGAAGTTCCACCTCCAGTAGATCAAAGACCGCCTTCAAGGGGTTGATCCGGCCACCATCCTGAAAGCGGAGATGGTGAAGTTAGTGGTGCTTAAAATGTAGCGATTCAGTAAGGATTGACAGTGATCTGAAGTGCTTCAGAATGACTATGGGCGGGTATTAGTCACATTATAACCCATATATATAATATTATATTTGTAAATATTTATTTATGTACAATAGCCACCCAAAAAAAATAAGAGTTCGTAAGCATCAACTGAAACTGTGATAAATTATGGATATTTTTTTGTGATTTTATATAACTGGGGGTATGCCATATACGACTGGGTTATATCTGCTTTAGCAATCAAATACTACATGACGCGCATGCAAGCAAACAGTTCCGGGCAAAAAATCATCTGGCTACTTTTATAGAGAAATTTTCCAACGAAAAAAACTGGTTATATAGTAACACTGGTTAGAACCCAGTTGCAGCTGGTTGTGCCACTAGTTCCCAAAAAACAGCTGGCGATCTTTGGGCGTTCATTACAATTACTTACTGGCTAAAACCAATTTATACCCAAAAGGTTTCGAACATGAATACCAGGAGGATATTCACACTTAGTCACTGGTTAGTAACAATGGTTACAACTCGTTTATACACGGCATAACCTCACCTAGGGGACCTATGAACCAGTATATATTATCTACCAATTAATGTGAGATGATGCTCCGAGCGGAACCTACACCCTCCCTGCACAAACAATATGCATGGTGGTTAGCGCATTCCAAAACTGGATCAATCTCTTTGCCCTGCATGGAAATCTTGCTCTTTCCCCCATGCTTCTGCACCGTCCAATTCATTTTGTCTTCATATGCCATCGGCAGGGGCTCAACCTGAAGGGTCTCATAGTGATCGTTGAAGCAATCCGTGGCCACGGAATATTCTGGTTTCATGGATTGCTTGGGAACAAAATGTTACAAAAATGATTTGTTTTTTCAAAAAACCTAACCTCTTGCAACGCAATTATCTCCTTTTGAGTATGTTAGCGCTTCCCAAATCACATTGGCATGAAGGCACATGATTCCAGGGTTCCCAAGGTATTGATGGTAAATGTCGAGTATTTTTTTATAATGGCCAATCTTAGCTACCCTGCAAAAAAAAATCGCTGGTGAACGTAGATATTCCCCTTGATACCAAAAGACTAGTTAGGATTAGTTTCTAGCCATCTAAGATTGACCTAGGAATCTGTCATGGTTATATAATGGAACAATATTGATGGTTATATTATATTGACCTAGGTATTGATAGTTTAAAAGGATATTGATGGGAAATGCCAAATATCCTTTTATGGTTAATCTATCCGATGGCACCGGTCGCCCTGCCGAAAGGCTGGATCAGAGAGGCCGCTGAAAAAACTGGGGCCCGTGTCGAAGAAAAATTCGCCGCCTTTGCAAACGCGCTGTGCGCAAGGGTTTGGTCCGAAGATGGAGTAAAAACGGGAAAGCAAAGGAGAAATGTATGTACGGTAACTACATTTAAATATACGGACTTTCAAATATACGAACAGGTATTTTAGACTAACTCCGGGAAAGTTTTCCTTGGCCCGCCCAGCCATTTCAACATACGGAATCCAATTCATTTAAACATACGGCAACTACATCTAAATATACGAACTGGTATTTCATACTACCTCCGGGGCCTCGCGGTCTGGCCCGCCCTCCACATATTTAAATGGTGTTACCGTATGTATCTATATATATATATATAAAATGTACCTGGTTTATCTTAAATGGGCAAAACCCAGACTTCGTGTCCAAATTTTTGATGCGATCTCTTTGGCCGATCGCATGACCTTGTGGTTCCACGAAGGGCACAGCCCCCCGACATAAGGATTTGCCAGGAATTAAACTCAATCTTAAGGATGTGCTTGCCCATTTGCACAAGGCGGTGGCGGAAGTTTCAAAGATAGGAAGACTATAGGGGGGGTAAGCTGTTATGAGGCATGGATGGCAGAGCGAACCCACTGATGGACGGAAAGGTGGCTGAGGCTCTGGGTCTCTCTCACTCTCTCTTTCTCTATCTATCTATCTATCTGTCTGTCTGTCTGTCTGTCTATCTGTCTACCTGTCTATCTGTATATCTGTCTATCTCTCTATGTATCTATCTATCTATCTGTCTGTCTATCTGTCTGTCTATCTGTCTATCTGTCTCTCTGTTTATCTGTCTATCTGTCTATCTGTCTACCTGTCTCTCTGTCTATCTGCCTATCTGTCTGTCTGTCTATCTGTCTATCTCTTTGACTGTCTTACTATCTGACTATCTGTCTATCTGTCTATCTCTAGTTCTCTATTTCTCTATCAATTCGTTTTTCTTTCCGGCAACCTCACCCAATCTCTGTCTCTCTTTTCTCTGTCTCTATATCTTTCTCTATCGCTCTGTGTCTCTCTGCCTGTCTAACTGTCAGTCCGTCTGTTTACATATCTCTCTATTTCTCTCTATCTCCATCTTTATCTCCACTTTTATCTCTATCTCTTTCTCTTTCCCAACTTCCAAAAAGTGGTTCCAGACCATCAGTTCTGAAATTCTAACGCTTTTGACTTGTGTGCTTCGTCCCGCATGGGCGTGCACTTTTTCGATATCTCAACTCCAAAACCCTCAGTTTTTGACACTTTTGACTTGCGACGTGCCTCCCGCCACAACCGCGTGCACTTTTTCAACATCTCAACTTCCAAAAGTGCTCCGGACATGTCGTGTCTTTAGCATTTTGACTTCGAAATGTGCTTCGCCCAACAGTTGTACTTTTTCGACATCTCAACTGACAAAAGTGCTCCGATGTTGAGGTGTTTTGGGCATTTTGACGTCGAAATGTGCTTCGCGCCACAACGGTGTGCAGTTTTTCATCTCTCATCTCACAAGATGGCTCCACACCTGCCGCTTTAAGTCGGAAGTTTGATTTCTAAACTTCCTTCGATGATTGTCCCATATGATACCATATGACTATTCCCGTTCTTCGATTTGGAGAGATGCGACATGCTTGGATGATAGTCCCAGTAAGTTGATAAGAACCTAGTGAATTAGTGCACATGTCCTGCATTTATCCCATGGACAGCCGGGGACAGCTACAGCTCTGTTACCAAGCAATTACTGATCTTCATTGGTAAAATCCTAATGTTTCTGTTGGTTGAATCCCAAACAGATCCTTTTTTATACTATGATCCCCATCATCTCCCGATTTTCTTGTGCATTCCATGCTGTAGTTGATAATTTCGTTTGCTTAGTGTATCTTCAATGGCCATCAACCAAGTTGCTAAGTGGACTGATCCTCCGAGTACCTAATTTATAGTGCCTAAACGTACTAAATCCCATTCTTTTGTGATTAATTTTCCCTTTTCAAGTGGTGAAATGTGGGTTGGTGGGAAAATAGGGTACGCCCCCAAATCCCAACGCTTTATCATCATCTGCCCCATCAAATTACCATGTTGTGGGTATACCCTATCGACATACCCAGATCCCCATATACTCCATGATTTGCCCCAGTTACTAACCAGATAATTGACCATGGCCAATCTAGGTTCTTAGTGCAAAAATACCCATAACTAAAATGATCCTTTTTCGGGTTCAGACACTCCACATCTTTCACCACTTACATATAAGTTAGAGATATAATGTAAGTTCACATACATTAATACATATATACATTAATATGTACATATACGTATGTATATATATATAATATGTGTGTGCCATATACATACATATCCTTATCCAGTCTCATCAACTATATCCATCATAAGCATGTCCACCTCCTCCGGTTCCTTCCGCTCCGCCTGCTTTGGGCAGCTTACACCTGAAACCATGCGCCGCGCCGCCCGCGGTACCATGGGCTTCGCAGACCAGCACGCGCTTGCCGTATTTGGCCAGCACGGAGCCTGGGAAAATATCTGGCTTTGTCACAAATAAGGTGCAAAAAACCAACCATTTCATGGGATAGCACGTGGTAATATATTGGGAATGTGTTTGATAAAATGGCGATATCATGAAAATAGAGTGATGATACAATGATGATATTGATAGTTCTATTCTAGGAAAGCATCTCTCGTCATGGGGATATCATGAGGATTTTCACGCAGGTTCATGGCGATTTCCGGGTTCATAGTGGGGATGTATGTATAACCAGCAATATGATTGGTGGGGTGTCTGAGATTAGGGTATTTGCCATCAAACATACCGAGATGTTAACAGGAAAAATAATAAGATATCCTTTCGATTCCTTTCGTATGTCAATGTTGGCAGGGACAATTATGATAACTAATCAAGCGCGAAGGGTAGACAGCTAAAATACGATTTTACTTGTGAAAATAATGACAAACAATCAGAAAGAAACACATTTTGTTAACCAACATGATACTTAATTACATACATAAATACTGAGCGATTCGTTGCGGAATTCATTTTGGTGAACCCTATACCATGATAGGAATCTAGACCCAAAACAAGTGGGATATGAGTGGAATTGACGTAGCCAAATATGGGAGTAGTTGGGTGTCAGCCCACCAAAACGCAGTACAGTAAAGCACTTCTTGCGGCATGATTTTTGACACCCCAAAAAGATACCAAAAGGTAAACATATGAACATCAGGTACAGGTTGTGATGGGGTTTACCCCACTTTGAAACCTGTGGACTCAACCTCCAGATATGTGGGTTTAACAACCAAGATGCGGATTGAACCAACAAACCTGAGGGATGGTATTAAACCACTCTATATAAACTATTTGTTATATGGCCAGAAAAAACTCTACGGCAAAATTCATTGCATAAAAGTTGGTGGTCCCGAAAGATTGCATATAGATCCCCATGGCAATATTCAATCAGGAGATTCATCTCCAAAACATGTTTTTCGAAGTTCCATGCTTTTCCATGTTAGTTTTCAAAGGGCTGCGCAACTTGAGATTCTCATCAAGACTTTGGTAGCTATAGAAATAATTCACCCACACATGATATTGCCATCCAAACTGGCCAGCTTTGGGGATTCTGATCCCCCAGGGCGGGATGAACATAAAGTACTAAATTGTCGGTGGCCTAGGAAATGTAGAACGTTTTTAAACGAAACTTGCAAACCCGTGGGCCAATCTCAAGGAATATCCAAATGCTGGTGCGTTTGCCTGCAGCCTGTGATGGGCATGTGACCAGCGGAACAAACAGAGTGATTCTATGATCATTACCAATCCTAGATACCATGCAAAAACATCAAAAAATACATAAAACTTAGCTGGTTAGTAGATATTCCTATTGTAGCAAGAGATTAGAGGATTAGTTTCTACCCATCCAGTCAGTTGGGGATGTGATGGTAAATGGTATATGGTTGTCTCACAGACTTGTCAGTCGCTCCAATGGGCCTGGGTCAAATCATTAAACTGCCCTAAAATGGGAACGTTACAGGTCCTTCAATCAAAGGGCTATTCCATCGAACACAACATGTGCCACTTAAAGTGTTTCTTTTTCCGGCCACTAGGGGTTTCAAAAAAAAAATGCCAAGTGTGATGGTGTGTGAAAATTAGTATACAACGATATGTATAATAATAACAATAATAATGATCACAATTAAAAAAGAGGATTATGCGTATATGTAATACAATACACACCCAGTGTTCTCCCATTCGATACTTGCCATTACCCACCTGGGACCTAGAACCACCCTGGCCCCGTCATCGCCTGCACAAAGTCCTCCAATGCCACTGCCGATGACCACCACGTCGACCTCGGACGTTGCATCCCGCAACGCGCCCATTGCGGCGCCGGCACGCCTGGCGCGGCGCAGTGCCCCATTTTTTTTTTTGGCCCATTGAAAACTGGTGAGTTTCCATGAGTAAATCTGTTTTATGGTGATTTTGCCATGAAAAATTGTGATTCTGCCATAGTGCTTAAAGTGGTATTTTTTTTTCGAATTGTTTTTTGCTATATTTACTGATGTTTTTTTGCAATGGAAAAACAGGGGAATCAAACAACAAAGAATTGCTCAGCCATTTGCACATGGGACAACCCCCCGGGGACTTTCAAGACCCCGTGTATCTGGTTGGTGGTTTCAACCCTCTGACAAATTAGTCAGTTGGGATGATTATTCCCAATATATGGAAAAATAAAAAATGATCCAAACAACCAGCCATGTATTGTTCGATGTTGCTGCAGATTCTTTTCACACAACATATTGCTCATCGTTCGGTTTCACTCGGGTCGGTTTCCCACAGACTGCCTAAACAAACGAATTTCAAATCAAGTTTGTTCCACCAATCAAAACTCGCAGGAACAGCAAGACTTGAACCCTGCAACAATCAATGTAGCCATGAAATATTCGGAAAGGACCATAACCCATCGCAAAAACAATTCACAATGACACCGCCATAGAACTGATTGGCTACCTACTAGTCATATGTAAGCCCCACGCAGGCACAACAGCAAGGCACCGCGTCTTCCACAGGACAACACATCATCAACCCGTACATATCCCAAAACATGGGAATCAGAAGCATACTGAGGGAAAGGGTACGACATCCTGAAACCATTGTGTGCTGCTTTTGGGTCTGCAAAAATCCAACAAAGAAACGGCTTAAGCTTTTCCCCGTAACTAGGGTTCATGGGGGATGTAATTCAAAACAATTGCTTTGTCAACCAACTTAAAGGGCCGGCCTAAACTCCAAAGTAGATGATTTAGGGGCCCATGACTTAAGACACCTATATATCCCCCATGGGGTATCCAAATCAAACGTTGCTGCGCCCAATGAAATATGTCAATAATGCCTATGAATCACTATATGAATCACTATCAACTACTATGAATCACCAGAATCCCACTAGTAATCAATATTCAACTACTATTCATATTCAACTACTATCAGTTACTATCAATCACCATAGGTTTTGTAGTACCCTACTGTATCCCCGAACCAAAAGGTTGACCCAGCCCCCGTTGGGACGTCTGCCTGTGCACCCGGCTCCGCGCAGCCGTTGCCGCTGTCGCAGCAGCTGCAAGGGCCGCAGCGCTCCACCGGTGGCGCAGGGCTGTGGAAGTGACGCCGCGGCCGCAGTGGAACTGGAGCAAGGTGGGACACGGCGGGGTCCTAACCCGGCCGTGGTAAACATTGAGATCTATGTGATGTAAAACCATCAAAATCTGGAGATTGAATTGATTTAAGCATAATTTAAGCATCTAAAATGGTGGTTTCATGATGTCTCATGGATTTCACCATCAAAAACGGGACTTTCACATGTGCCATGGCTAAGATTCATGGGGTTAATGGTCATCCATCCCATATTGGGAATCCTTTTGATAAGTATGAAAAATCTTCTTACTGTATTGATGACCATCTCCCCTATGGGCAGTTTAACCATGTTTCGCCGCTGCTGCACACATGGTTTAACCATGAAATGCTGTAAACCCAATGCCATAAACCAGCAAAATGTGATGGATTAATGCAATTTCTGGTGTGTCATTGGGGATGGTTTATGTTTGGGCTCACCATATGACCAGAATACAATTGGATAGAACTGCTGGCAAGAATCAGGTCAAAAAGCTGTCATAATGATGGGGGCTCAATAAAGTATAGCGGGATTTAACAGAGATACCAATTATGATCCCATCCGCCAGTCATATGGAATACTACCAGGAAGGGCCAAAAAATAGACAAATCCAACACTAAACCAAGGCTTGGATCAGGTGGTTGCCTAATTCGTGGCTTGAAGCTGGATCTAAGCCAGCGAATGAGACGAAATGAGACGAACTGTATGAACAAGAAAAGGTCTTGATTGCAAGTGTGAAGCATACATGTAAATAAACCTGCTAGAAGAAACCGGGCCATAACTGCTGTATGGAAAGCACTATACAACTCTATGTGGCATCTCATGGATCTGCTGTGGAGACCCAACAGAAAGGAGCTGATGGAGCAAATTTAGGGGTCAGCGGTGTGCCAGCAGCAAAAAAAGTGCAAAGCACTAGCACCAGCAAGCCTCTTAGAGGCGCAGGTGGGCACAAACGACGCACCAAAACACCGGAGCTACTCACAGTGAAGGTAAGTGCCATGGAAGCTCTCAGGTAAGTGCCATGGAAGCTCTCAGGATGTCGGCAAAGCACTCAGCAGGAACGAGGAAGCAGCCAGGGAAAAAGTAGAAACCAGCGCAGCAGGCTCACCCTTGTCACTCAAACAGCTCGGCTCGTCGTCGCAGAACAGCTCGTGCACGATGGCCACGAATGACAACCGAAAGTTCCTCCATGCAGGCTGGAAGCATCGTCGCCAGTGCGTGCAGCAGCGCTGCGGGAGATCTGCAGCAAGAGTTTGTTAGGCAGAAACAGCATGATCATATGTGCCATGGTAAAAACGATGTATATAGGGCCAGGTCATCCCAGCATTATTGGATAATCCTTAAGATGGGCACATTAACCCCAATTCATGGAAAAAATAACATCCCTTTTTGTAGGGAAAAACGCATGTTTTGCCATGGCACACATGGTGGGGAGCCTCAAAAAAGGTTGGGCAATCCAATTGCACGATGTGTGTGTGTGTGTTCCGTGTATCTTCGTTTTATCAGGCTCTAAGGTCCCAAGCGGAGTCACAATGACAAACTGAGGAACCCCAACAGGGTATCTTAGTTAGAACCACCAAAACGGTATATAAGATTGGGTATTTCTAACATGTTCTAGCTATATAAATCTACATATAATTAATATCTACAATATTTGTTGTTTCTCTAGACAACATGGGACAATCTGAGGGCTTCTTCTTCCGAAACTCTACAGCGCTTTTGTTGCATAGCAAATGCACTTTTTGTTTAACCTTGCAAATATATTTTGAAAGAGTCTTGTGTCAAAAAGTTCATCTTTGTAGCCATAAGTACCGTTTGTCATTGCAATGCGTCAGCGAACATGGCGGTCCCCTCTGGGTCGTCCCAGCGTGAAATTTCGCGCGCGACGTGTTGCTCATTGTCTGCTTTTAAATGATATTGGAATTTCGAATATTGGAATTCTTCCCGTTGCAGTAGACAAGCCATCGATGCTTGCGGCGGTAAACGCACTGGACGCGACTGGTCAAAGGGCAAGCAATCCTCAAAAGATAAATTCTGTGAAGAATAGGGACAAAGCCACCGGCACGAACGTCGACAAAAGGTCAGCGCGTTGATGTGGATGCAGGTCCCAGATCCCAGATTGCTCAATCTTTACTAAGGATTCAATTTGATGTATTCACTCAACGGGGGTGACCTTGCGCACCCCATAGTTGAGACAAATTGTTGGTGTCCTTGCCAGTCTCCACAAACTCATGGGGGAACACCGTTGCATCCGAACCACTGTCCAGAATGATGTTCACCTCGTCCGTCCAAACTGTCCTGACGAAGAGTCTCCCACCAAGAATCTGCTCCTTCTTCTTCTGCACCATGTCCTTCAGGAGATGAAATTCAGGTACATGTTCACAGTGAAAACAACATCGTCATCATCATCACCAATGAAAAAATGTTCACATATCACTGCACGAACATTCTGGTTCTCTGCAATCTCGTGTTCACCATCTTGCAGATCAAAAGTAAGTGCCACTATTCGAACACTTTTGCCGCTCTCAGGACTTGTTGGGGAAGCTTCGGGTTGTGCGCTCTGAGTGGTGTGTGTGTGTGTGCTGTTGTTCTCACCACCCTTCTCATTCACCTGACGTGCTTTCTCTTTGCCTGACCAGCAATCTCGAGCGTAGTCTTAGTGTCCTTGTTTGTGACACTTGTGACATACAACAGAACTTGTGTGTTTGCCAGAGTTCTTTGTCTTTCTTTTGCCCTTGTCAGCCTTTTCCTTTGGAATCGGAAGACTGGTTGTATCCATTGGAGTTTCCATAGCCTTTTCTTTTGTCATGCCAAGGTGTCTTGCCCTTGTCTTTGCTCTTTCCTTTTCCTTTGTCCTCACCCTTGTCTTTTCCTTCAGCCCTGCTCACATTCATCGGATCACCAGCTTGTCCAAGCACCATGCTCTCAGACCATCTTGTAGTCTGCTGGTCATAGGTCAAGACCAGTTCACGCAGTTGAGAAAACGTAGTTTGTCATTCACCCGCAACTGCGACCATGGTTTCACATTTCCTGTCACACTTCGCGTAACACTGCTGCTTTGATCTCATCAGTTAGTTTGTTCCCTCGCTTCTCACACTCAGCATATGCAGTCTCCAAACGTAGCACCTGTGACAACAACGATGCCTTTGAGTTGAAAACTGGCCAGTTCATGATGATTGAGAGTAGGCTCATAGCACGGTTTTTGTTCAATGGTTCACAGGACTGAATGAGCTGACGATATGCTTCATATCCATTGGACATCTTCACCTGCTTGACCACAAGGAGAGGTCCTTGTTTCACCAAAGAGGCTAACAAACCGTAAAGAAAAACGGTTCCTTTCTGCTCAGAGTCTGTCTGCACTGATGCATCCACCTCAGTCTGTAAATTTTCTCGCAGGGTCTTAATCTCTATGACGTACTGGAAGGTCTAAGGTGGTCAAGTATTGTTTAGTCTCTCGATTGGGAGATCTCTTGCTCTCGGTCGCTAGGTTCGAAGACCTGTGGCTTCGGTAGCAACCTGTACCATGACTTCTCATCTGTTGCCCCAGTGCTTGAACTTGCTACCTGCCCTTGTTGTTGTTATTGTTGAACCTGGGTCGCTATCTGCACAGCCGCCATTGCAGCCTGACTAGCTGCCTCTGTTACAGCTATCAACCTTTGCGCTACTTTCAGCTCCATCCATAGCCATGCCACCAGCCGTTGGACTTCCAGTGGGGAACCATGAGTCGACATAGCTCAGCTAGAAAATCTAAGCAGGATGCCAAAGTCCAGCAGGAACGTACAGAGCACCACAGTCACCAAGTTCAGCTTCACCACGCCTATGGCTTTGCCCTAAACAGGCTTCACAGCTCCGCTGCCATCACTGGGAAAGCGGACATTTCTTTTGAGCACACAAATGCCTTACAGGTATGGCGATTTCTCACCTGTATGCCACCACATGCTGTGGTCTGTAGTCCTGGGTGCAATGTCAGTCAGATACGCTTTTCATCTTCTATGTGGTCGCTTCAGGTCTACTCAGAATAACCCCGCCGCTGGGCATGTTTGAGGTTGCCGCCTAGTCTTCCTGTTGCTGGCCCTTGAATACCCACAGTGGACAAATTCCAATTTGATACACAGCACAAACATGTGCAGACTCTTTGAACTTTGATTTTTTACATGAATTGCAAATGAAACTGAGGCGATTCCATCCTGATTCACCATCTTTTCGGTGAATTGTCATAATTTATCCAGAAGCATATCTTTTCGAGGTTCCTATAATTGATTTGTTCATCCCAGGGACAATTGAAACCCGTTCATTTGTAAAGAAAGATGGTTAGTTTCCTGTAAGTTCTCCCTTAAACCCATCCACTGTTGAGCCCCTCCCCTAAAATCCCTTGGTTTAGATCCATATCTGGATCTAGGTTGGAGAGATGCATGAAACCTGCTAAAGCAGAGGGGTTCGTAATTCCCGAATTAAACATCACCCAGCTATTGGGGATATAATCGTCAATAGGTAGGTAAAAGTGATGTTAAAATCCGTCAAACGGGACATTTACATGTATTAAACATAGTCTATGGTGACGTCGCAGTGCGGGGGTTATTTAACTTTATCCAAATGGTCGATCCATATTTTGGTTGACCGCTCAACTCCTAATGTTCTGCTGGGTTTGACTGAAAATACAGTACCAGCCTTTTAAACCATTGCATGGATGTTACTTGATGTTACCCTTAATCATGGATAATCCCATCAATCATGGCATTTCCAATCATAAACCACGGATTCATCATGGCATTTGCCATTAACATGGCAACATATGGGGGTTTACTAAAAAAGGGCTACCCCCAAATCATCCATTTATAGATGGGATTTTCCATGAACCATCCAGCGATAAAGGGTATCCCATGGTATCCCCCATGGAAAAGGAAGCCACCATATGATCTGGGGGATACGTGGGATAGAAAAAATGATTCATGGGAAGCTTCCATTTATAGATTATAGATAGGATTTTCCATATCCCCATTTTAGGAAGCCACTGGCTGGGGATTTTCAACATCGAAGACTGCCAAGAAACTGGTGAAACGTCTCGCCATCGCTTCAGCTGGACCCGCGTTGGAAGCTTCGAAACGCTGACTGCGAGGCGCGTTGGATGCGGCTGCATGGCGACAGCGAGGGCCTCCTTCCGAACGCGGTTGAAAATAAAACATGAAATCATCAACTAGTCAAGATGAAGAGAAAAGGATCTTGCAAAAAAGTCATGGTTGGGTTGGGTGTTGGGTAGCTCCTTCACTTTAATCTATGTTACTTCAAGTTCAGCAAAAAGTGGTCGAAACTCTTGGGCCAACCTTTTTGGGAAGGAAACTCTCCTTCGGGAGAAAACACATTGCAGTGTTAGCCAATGGTTGATGACTGGATATACGTTATTATTAAATATATATATATATACACGTATGTATACACACTGCAATATATTATAATAAATAAAATATTATATATTATATGTTATACATACACTATATATAGTATATATATGTATATATATATGTATATATAACATATAACAAGTCGTCCCTGCGGGGGTGGAAGGAATCCAGACATTGCAATTCCCAATTCATACCCTTGGTGCCTTGAGGCGAGAAGCAGCTGCGGCACGTTTCGACGTGATCTGCTGCACATCAACAGAGCTAAAAGAATCTGAATAGTGTATAGATAATATATATATACAGTGTATACACGATATCTTTATATATATAAAGCAACTATATAATACTATATATACTATATTATGTATACACTATATACTATATTTCTGAATGGTCAGCAACTGGGATGATCTCTGAATAGTGGTTTTGCTGGCTAGTGACTGGTTTGCATCCCCTATACAATCACTGGGACATCTGGGAATGTGGGCCTCACTTGAACACTGTACTATACATGTTGGCAAACTTCGAAAAACATCAAAGCTATTTCACTAATGTTGGAATAGTAAACCATCCCCCAATTTTACCGTTTCTGTGGGTGGTATAAACCCTCAAAATATGGGTGGTTTATAAATTGCTATACTACCATTCCAATCCGTGTTGTGCCATTCTACCACCATTATAAACCCACTATAATTCCATAATCCTATGTTTCCCATGATATTCCCATTATATCACAATTATACCACTGTTCTTACCACCTTCAAGTTCTTCATCTTTTCCCAGACCACGGGATCGGGCAGTTCGAGCGTGGCCGGTCGCGTGCTCAAGCAACGCGTTGCAGTTCGATGAAGGGAAGCGCGGTGGTTTCGGAGTGAATGAAGGGAACGAACCGCGGATGTCAACAACTTAAAATATAGTCATCCCCAAAGTGGAAAAGTAAATCCCTACTAATTTGCTGATGATTTACTTTTCCACCTATTTGGTGATGACTATAAATTTGCATGTGTTCCAATTCACCAACACTACAAAACAGTGCTACCTGTCAATTTTTTGACCCAACATGATTTTGATGAGTATGGCTCATGCTCAACATGGTCAACAAAAAGTCTGGTGACTTGGATTCATTTTTTCACCTGGAAATCTACTCTTAGGGACCTGGACATGTTTGTTAGGCTGGAACTTGCTGGAATGATGATCATTTGGGTATGGGTCAAAAGTTGGTAGCCCAATAATTGGATGGTTAATATTCAAAATAGACTAACATCTGTGGTCCCAATTGTCTTTAATTTTGACCCATACCCATTTGTGATAGTAAAAGCGAATAAAAGCATTTTCCAGACCATATCAGACCATCATGTTTGCAGTGTCAAGATAAATCTTAGGAAACATTGGCATGATAGGGGTGATGGGGGTGCAGCCTATCTGTGATTGGAGCGGGTGCAGTGCGTGTGATCGAAGTGTCAGTATACAACATGAGAACGACATGATCTGACATACCTGTGACAGGAAGCTTACAGTAAGCTCCTGTTTCCGCCTGTTTTTCTTGGGTCACTTGGTACAAGCTCTAGATATTTGCGTTTGACTTGCATCAACTCAAAGTATCTATAGCACCGGGACAGGAAACCATCGCATCACAGTCTGGTGGCTCAATGTTGCCACCAAAGCTGAGCAGAAAATGGATCTGGTGCGTTTTTCAGCCACACCTTTGATACTGGGGTTGATACACCATGATACTGAAAACATGATCCTGAAATAAATAAATATATATATATTGATATATTGATAAAAATATATACATATATGATACTTATCAGTATTTTCAACATCATGATACTTTTCAATCCCAAATACATGATCAAAGGGAAAGATCGGACAGCAATTTTCAGGCTTTGCGCGCAGATCACGGGCAACAAAAATGACCGTAGCAAAGGGGGAAGCAGAGCTGACAGCGGCACGGGCGAGCGAATAAGATGTCCTCTAGAAGCAGCTGATTGTTTGGCTGTTTCTTGGCAAAGTTAGGACAAACATCAAGAATTCCCAAACATCGTATCATTGTTTGGGATAAACAAATAAACATCAAGAATGATTCAGAATAAACATAAATTGGATCTCATCTGCATCAAAAAGAATGTGTTTTTTCATTGTGTCTCCTTTTGTCATATCCCCATGAAGTGAATCATTTTGGGTGATGCTCACCTCGTCAGTCTGAAGGTTGAAGCAGTCAGGGCGTGTTCAAAGAGTTGTGCCTGGAATCCGGCATACTCCAAAATGTTTGGTTTAATATTGACGAACGGATTTTTGAGGCAACCTATTTCCTAGCAAACCCAAATCCACTAAAACCTACTCACAGAACTTGTTCCAGAGTCGAGCTACAAATCTATGCCTTGTTCCACGTTGTGCAAACACCCCGGCCAGGAGTGGGATGATGCTTTTCAGTTCTCATGGTCCATTTTCCAAAGAGCCCCCTCTTCAAGAGAAAAACATGCAAACGCCAGGTATAAGAGATATCATGTCACATCAATTTATGGCAGAAAACATACGTATATATGTGCCATAGTTAAAACATAGTGTATGGTTTGTGATCGTCCATCACATTTCCTGGACTCCAAGAACCATGGCGACATACACCCCTATGAACATTAGGTTGGTGGTTTCAACCCCTCTGAAAAATATTAGTCAGTTGGGATGATTATTCCCAATATATGGAAAATAAACATGTTCCAAACCACCAACCAGACATGGTAAAACAAAAACTAATCCAAAGAACTCGTTTAATTCATGTTAATCCAATCCGGCTTCGGCATTATAAGTCAAAGTTCAACTGGCTATAAGATGCATCAATCACCCATCAACACACATAGAAAAATACAACGGGGAAAAAACATGTAGGTAAACGTTAAGGAACTGGGTTATACCTGTTAGTTTAATGGAATATTCCCACTTATCTAGAGCATTGTATGGCCTAAAAAAATGGATTGCCCTCTGGTAATTTAACATAACTATGGAAAATCACAATTTTTCATGGGAAAATTCACTATAGATGGTGATTTTCCATACTTATGTAACAAATTACCAGAGGGTAGTAGGAAAATGGGATAGACATGGGATACACTTGGATGTAATAGGATACTGTACAATAGGATATAGTATTATATGATGGGGCTTAATGGGGGTATATTCAAATATTATTCTTTTGCTTCAAGCCACGGATCCTCTATTTTTTTTTTGGACACCAAGGTTTTGGTGAACTCACTCGTCGCCGCTCAAATGGTCACTGCTTCCAGCAAAGCTTGGTGTCCGAAGGCGGCAAATTCACCCTGCGCCGAGCTGGTTAATAGTGGTTAATAGTGGGTTAATAGTGGGTTAATAGTGGCTAATAATGGGATGATAATAGTGGGTTAATAGTGGGTTAATAGTGGCTAATAATGGGATGATAATCTGGTTGGTGGTTTTGAGCTGCTAACCCCTCTGAAAAATGTGATCTGGAGAGTTGGGATGGATGGAAATTCCCAATATAGGGAAAAATAACAAATGTTCCAAACCACCAACCAGTTGTCCATTTTTGTGGGGATTTTCCTTCATAAACCATCCTTAAAAAACGGGAATTTTCCATGGAAAGCTCCAAATTGCAAGACTGATAAAGCCTGCAAGAATTTGCCGGATGGGACTCAAAATAGCTGGTATAGCTGGATGCTTATTTGCCCAGTCATAATGTGGTAATTTCATAGGTTTTGACCCATTTTGACCCATGTCGAAATTCAAAGACTGACAAGCCCGGCAAAAATTGGGAATCCAAAGGACAAAAAAGGGGGGGTATCATGGGAAATCGTGGGATGACAGGAACATTCACTACCAATATTGATTTGAGTGTATCTGAAAATGATTGTATACCCCCGATATGGAAGCAGTAGCCATGAATTTGGTTGAAAACCGAAATCTTAGATGCTAGAATTAAAAACTAGTTTGCTACTAAATAAATCCCTGTTTATGGCAATCAAATAAACCTTCGTCTAAACTACCCTTACCCAGTTGATTGACCAACATTTTGATGACTTCTCCATTCAACCCCCTTGGTGTTGTGATTTTGTGATGTTGTGACAATTGCTGCAAGAAGCGGCTCCAGCTCGTTAGCTAAGTTGGCTTATAACTATAACAATTAGGATTTAAGATGGATATATCTATAGTTAGATGGAGTTATAAACCAACTTGGCTAGTTGTTGGTTTGATTTGGGTTTTCTGCACCACCAGAACATATACATGTATACATAAATATGTATGTATGAAAAATACATATAAAATCATGCATACATGATATATATATATATATGCTACCTACCCCCTCCCAAAGATCTACCATTTTTAGCTTTTTGTTGATGTCAAAGAGGTAGTATTTGTTGGGAACATTTTGCAAAAACAAAGTACACTATTACTTTCAAAAAAGATGAGCACATATTCAGGTCAGAAAGCACATCGTTTCTTGAAGGAAGCAATCTGTTTTAAATTGCAGCGTTCCTTTCTATGCTTGAAAACAAATCACCTTCATTCATAAACTGCAATTTTCCTTCCAAACAAAGTATGACTTCGTTCAAGAAACAGTACCCCTACAAAAAAATAGAGCATTCCTCTAAACATGCAGTGGTTTCTTTCTGAAGAAGTGCAATCTTCCTTTCAAACTAATATCAAGCCTTCCTTCAATCATACAGTATTTCTTTCAAAACACCAGATTCTAACATGTTGGATATGTCTGTCTTTTTGATGCAACAGAGTAAGAATAATATCTTGATCAGCAATCTTTAATATAAAATGAAGATAGCTTCATTATATATTTTTTTATTCATATATATATATATATTTATTTATTTATAAATAGATGCATACGTACATATGTGTATATATATATATATATGAAAAACATATGAGTATATGTATATATTCAAATCTTATATGTATATACAAAATAATATATTATATATATGGCAATCTGATGCCGAATGTAATACTCGCAGTATATCCCATTTATCAATCACACATCTAATATCATCTAATTAAATCAGTATACCATATCAACTACAGATAAGCCATTATGCTATAATGTCATACAATACCTTTGCATTATGATATTCTACCATGTCTGAGCCAGTTTACACCCATAATCCCATAGTAATTTTGTGGCAAACACATGATTTGAGGAATCATTTTCCTAGGGAAACCATTGGTTTTCCGCATCTATGCTAGCTTACCCCAGGGTACCAGTCCCTATAAATCCCTATAAAATCCCTATAAGCCCCTATAAATCCCGGAAAATCATGCTTCCCAATTTCCATCAAAGTTTGGCGGAAAAAAAACAGCCCAGGCTCTCCTTCGAGATGCGTCCGTCGTTGCCTCAGAATTTTTCCGGCTGCACACATGGAGATTTCAGTGGAGGATCTGCAAACACAACTGGATTTGAGTTGCAACACATGTACCCGGCCTGGTAAACATACAAAACCTACGGAAAATCACCATGCCTTTAATGGGAAAGCTCACTATTTCAATGGGCCATTTTCAATAGCAAACTGTAACAAATTACCAGAGGGTATATGTAAATTATCTAAGTGATTTCCCCTGCTAAAAATGGGATATTGAAAGTGAAAAGCAAACGCCAAACAAATGAATGGAAGCTGCAATATTTGTGATTTGACCGGCAAGCATTGCAATATCTCGGCCAAACACTCGATTTTGCCCAGTAAAAGTGGGTACTCACCAGAAATCATTCAGTAATTGTATTATCTACGTATACAGCCAGTAGAAAAAGGATGACTTGAGCGGCAAACATGTATCTGCGTCAACATGTTTATTGTCCCAGGGGACCCAACCGTTAAGAATTGTTTTTTCAATTGGGAATTTCTTAAATGGAGGTACCCCCAAATCATCCAAAATTAGACCATTTTAGTATTGAAATCGTTTCGGGGATCCCACATTTTAAGAAACCCGCAATTCTTACTAGTACACCAAGCCATATTTTCCGTACGCAATTCCCCAACTATACAGTACTAAGAGGAAACACTTGTAATTCTTCATGGGAAAACTTCAGACCCAAACACCGAATGTCATCGAATGTCTGCAATCGCCGTCTCTGTAGGTTCTACGGCCAAAATATCCTTTCCATAGCCCAAGAAATCTCAAAAGAATGGGACTGAAAGACGACGTTTCAAAATAGTTTTTTTTAGTGTTCCAGTGATGAAAGTGGGGCATTGTATATCATGGCCAATCTTTGTGTCACAGAAAATTGATGTATGAATATAAATTTAAATGATATATTTAACACAGACAATCACAATTTGCAGCAAGTTGACCCATGAACCTACCATATCGCTACTGTAATAGTAAACGACCCATTTTGCTAGGTCAAATCCCAGAATCTTGGAAATGTGGAAACGCGCAAGTTGCCCAAGGTCTTCTCGGAATAGGGCCACTTAGGAGAAATAACGATGCAATAATGAAAACATGCCCATATTCTATGATGTTTTTCGTTGTATCCAATAAATAAATGTATGTACAAATATGTTTTTATATATACATAAATGATTATAAATGTATGTACATGATATCCATTGCTCTCCGTGTCTTCATATTTTGTTGGCTATGTACCATAAACAACATCCCAAATCTTCAGGAGGTCGCACAAACACACAACAACTTTGCAGCTCAGGGACTCTGATCGCATTGCCTTCGAGCAGTTTGAGCGGGGCTTCACAGTGGCTGGTGGCTGAGCCACTCATCTGAAAAATATACCCTCTGGTAATCCAACGTTGCGATGGGAAAGAAATCCCTCATAAATCCCATAGGATCCATGTATGGTATATATATGCCAACATTTGGGGTATATTGATGGGATCCATGTTACCATATATAGCATACATGGATCCTATGGGTATATGATTTATATTGTATATCATATATTATCCATAGATTCACCATTATTAACCATCATTAACCATAGATTCACCATAGATTCACCATAGATTCACCATATATATATATATACATACATAAAATGGGGAAGTGTCCAGCAAGCCACGTAACTTGATTACCGGTTCGTCAATTCGTCAATTGGGATCTGGAGGGCGGAAATCGAGTACATCATGAGGATCAACAAAGGGTGGATGAACATCTCAGGCAAGATACTCTCTGGTAATTTTTAATGGTTTGTTACAATGGGTTAACAATGGTGAATAATGGGAATAGAATGGGATTATACCCTCTGGTAATTTGTTGCAGTTTGCTATTGAAAATTGCCATTTATAGTTGATTTACCCATTACAAATGGAGATTTTCCACAGGTTTTTCTATGTTTACCAGGCCGGGTAAGTGTCAGGATGGCACCCATTTTCAGGTATAGTCTGGACCCGCGGGCCCAAGTCATCCATTGGTTTCTGAATGTTTCAAACCTCATTCCTGTTTATCTTCATCCTGGTTGACCACGTCCACGTCGGGGCGAACAGATCCATGACGTGTCTGCATTGTTTTGGACTCATCAGAAAAGATAGTAAAGTCATTCATCACAATTTTAGTGGGATTTTACGCACTTCTATCTTCTTGGGGGTGGCTTTAAACGAGGAGATACAGATAAACCATCATTGTCTGCTTGGTGGTTTCAACATCTAACAATTAAGTGGCATCACAGCTCAATACTGACAGATATATATATATATATATATGCATGCATCTGTATATATATATATATATATCACACCATGGCCAAATTGTGACATCCTTCCAACTTCCAAAAACTTACTCTTTATCTGGTTTGCTTATCCCTTGTATAGTAAAACATGTAAAAACATGTAAAAACCAGTAAAAACCTCATCAACCTTGGTTGGTTCAACCACCCTGCATTTTTCTGATCCCAAGATTGACCCAGAAACCAGCAACGGAACCGCGCACCTACGGAAGATCAAGGCCTTCTCAAAGAGAAGCTCCGTAGGGATGCCTTAGCGATGGCTTCACCGACTGTCACGACATGGTGCAGCCGGTGCTGCCCTTATTAAACGATAGGTAGGTTGAGATCCTTACCCATATGATCCATGGTGCTGGTATATTTACCTAGAAAACTGGGTGATTTATGTTGGGCAAATATTGGTGTGCATATACCAGCACCATGGAGCATTTGGGTTAGGGCCCTAACCACGGTTTATTGTTGCCCACAGCCCACAGCCTGGAAAAGATGCAGATTTTAGCAGCAAAACAGCTGGTATCATGAGTGTATACCACTTGTTTCCCATAGAATATGTATACCCTGGAGATCAAAAGACCAACAAAAACAGACTATTCCACCAGGAAAGTGCATGGTCTTTTATAAGGGTTTTTCTTTGGTGTTAAAGAGCACCCTAAAACAACATTTACGACATAATTCCTCTTGTTCCTAAGCCAGAACATGTCGTTCCTGACTGGCAAGATACTTGTCCATTCTATACTTTCATTGTCTCTACTTCCATGAACGTAGCACATTCCGATGGGCTGCTTGCTCCAAGACATGTGCTACAGCTAGCGAAGCAGTTGTCCTGAGATCATTGATATTTCTTGTAGAATTTTGAAGGGCCCGTCTTTCACGCCCAAAAATGGGCGTTCTATACCATCTGATTATTTAACATAGCCATGGATCATGGAAAATCCCTTATAAAATACCAATCCATTGAATCTGATGGTCAAAAAAACGGGTATTTTCAGGGTCTTTCACGCTTTACTCATGGTCACAGTGTCACCTCCATGGCCTTTTTGTTTCTAACTGCTCGTGTTACCAAGGAGATGATGCGGCATGAAACTTACAACAGGATTCATTACCCATAGGATCCATGTATGCTATATATGGTAACATTTACCATCAATATCCATCAATATACCCCAAATGTTAGCATATATACCATACATGGATCCTATGGGTTATGACGTTATGACGTTATGGATTTTGATAGCAACAGTATTGCGATACATTATCTGTCCGGTTGGTGATTGAACCATCCCTCTGAAAAATATATGATCTGGTCAGTTGGGATGGATGGAAATTCCCAATATATGGAAAGTCATAAAAACTATGTTCCATTATTGATTATTATATCCCATTATATCCCATGGAAAAAAACACCAACAAAAATCCCATTAAAAACCATGTTCCAGTCACCACCAACCAGATCACCATCATATTCCCATTGTTGTTGGTTTATAGCCTTTTAACCACAATAACCATCAACCACCAACCAGGATATCCAATATATGGAAAAATCCAGTCACCACCAACCAGCTGTTGAATGGTACAATTATGAATCCCATCGCGACCGCTTTCTGGATTCAAACCTGCGCTCTGCCTGCCTTTTCAGGGGGAATCAGGGCAATACGAAACAAGCAAGCAGCACCAGCAGGACATTTCCAGCACCAAAGGGATACCATCTGGTTATGACTAACAGTTCGCCATGGTATAGATGGCCCTAATCGAAATAGATGGTTTACCTATTAATAGCATGGTGGATCTTTCCATGGCAAACTTGTAAATAACCAGAGGGTAACTTTTTTGGTGTCTTTACATGATCAATCAACCTGTAAATAGAAATTCTTGATTTGTTAAGGCAACACACACAAAGATCAATGGTACCAGCCCAGCCAAGTGTGAACTCCACACAAAGCATTCACTCCTTCTTTGCCATTAACAGTCTTTTCCCCTAGATTAAAACAATAGTCTTGGACCGTCAGCGTATACTATATATATCTATATGTGGCTGAATTGTAGCAATTCGCTAACCTGAAACTATCTGTTATGATATGGGCATTTGGGGATGATCCCCCTTACAATTCCCATCATTCCGGTGACGTCACAATGAGGTCATTATAATGAATTCAAATATACTTATAATTATCGATATATTCATGTCATCCATGTATTCATCCATATGTTTATCCATATATTTATGTCATTATATGTATGTATATACCATCTGGTAAACTAACATACCTATGGAAAACCACCACTTTTTATGGGTAAATCAACTATTTCTATGGCCATTTTCAATAGCAAACTGTTAGTTTCCCAAAGGGTAATAAATGCATATATTTATATCCCAATGCACTGCTTACCTTATGGGATTCAACCCCTGGATGGCGACCACCCATGGATGGTTACATCCTCATAACAAGTTTAGTTGCATATCGCATGAAATATCCTCATGATATCCCCATGTTGGTGAATTGTTTTAAATCCATCATGAATTTACAATGGGAGATTATAATGGGGACGGATATCATGGTTTTATATCATCCCCATCAATAAATTATACCCCACTAATGGATATTATATCACCATGATCCTCATCAACTATATCATCATGATGGATATAATGGGATATAATATCCATGAATCAACTAAATAAAACCATTATGATTAATATTTAATCCACATTAAGTATGGATGATTGTTCATGGTGATAATGAGGGTATAATGAAGCCATGGTTAATTTATGGATTTATGGATTTATGGCTTCATCACTGCACCGTGGTGTCCCTGAGACTCATCGAATGTGGGAAGAACCCGCCAAGAGACGCGAGCTGGCAGATTGCAGGGCCAAGTCCATCGTTGCTCCTGGTGGTCGATCCGTTTATCTAGCAGCTTGGCAGCACAATCTTTGTTACATGGTTAGTTTAGAATTTACAATGCTATTCCAGGAATATATAAATGCAATTGTGCAAATATATATATATAATTATATATTATAACATATTGTACACACGTGACTATATCACGGAAATATACGTGACTCTATTCCCATATACAAACAAACACTACAGGAACCGACAGAATTATGGAAAAAAAAAACGTTTCAATTTACAGGCGCCGCCTGTCTATGATAGAAAAGTTACGAACCTTTTTTTTTCCATAATTATTTTTTCCATAATTATTTTTTTTTCCATAATTCTGTCGGTGACTGTATGTCCATCGATTCGCAATTTGAATGTATTTTAAGGGGGAATATTGAATTATAGAAAATATGTGTCTAAAGATCTGGTATATACCCCTAAGTCTTCCATTGATTGGGTTGATACTACATACTTGCATTTGCATACATATTTCCATAACCCCCAAAAAAAAGGGGTTTGAATTGTGGATCCATGACATGTCCAACAGGTGGAGCCCCAAACATTAATTATGGAAAAAATAATTATGGAAAAAATAATTATGGAAAAAATAATTATGGAAAAACCGGTCAATCTGCCCTAGCCCCCTGATTTTACAGGAAAAATCAATTATGGAAATAATGGCCACCTCCAAGAATTATGGAAAAAAAAAGGTTCGGATCACTTCCGGGATATTTTGAACCCTTATGGGGAAAAACCTAATTATGGAAAAATCGGACGCAGGTGCCGCCTGTCTAAGTTGAACGTTTTTTTTTTTCCATAATTCTGTCGGTGACCATATACACACCTACAAGGAACCAAAAAATAGAAAAACATATTTCCTTCATCGATTCCACAAGTAGTGGATTTCCCATTGGGAAAATAACACCTCAATTTGTTTACCAATACTGTATACCCTCCAGTAAATTCCCATAGACCCTGGCAGATGGGGGTGGAAAATTAGTTTCCAAATGTTTCCAGTAAGAATATCCAAAGGTCAGGGATTAGTTTTCCATCAATTTAACATAGACTTTTGGGTAATTTAACATAGGCCCTTTGGAAAAACGTCAACAATCCATGTGATTACCGGAAGGATATCCCATTATTCAACCTCTTAAACCATACAAAACAGTAAAAAACCATGGAATATTCGGGGATTGCTTTAAAATTGGCTATCCCCAATTTGATCTCCCTGAGATCACCGAGATCAAATGTCACAGCAAGGTCCAGTCCTTCGGCCAGGCCGGTATCTTGAATCATGGCAGCATAGACCTGCCAGGTGGAAAACGTGGGATGCAATGTGGGGAAACGAACCGTGGTTGAGATCAGTCGGTTTACAATATGGTTTGTGGAAAATTTATAGCCAAATGGGTGAAACTAAACCAACTTTGAACTGGAGAGAGGGCATTTCAAGGGTTTCTGAAACCATTGAAGCAGCAACATCTAAAGAAAACATACAACTTATTATAAGATCTTTTAAGCCCGCATGTGTATCCCCCGCACAAAACATGGTTGCTTTATACCAGGGCTTTCGAAAGATAAACATGAATCAAGACCCAACTCAACCACCTTTACTCCAAAAAAGTTGCGGGGCTAAACCCGCAGGGCAATTGAGAACCTCAACGGAAACCTTGTTGTGGGAATGCACATGTTGACGGCCTATGTCTAGTTTTCAACCTTTCCATTTGGCTCAGACCCACGTGTGATTCTGCCGCCAGAGCCAAGTTCCCACCTCATGGATGATTGTCATCCCAATACAAAGAGGGTAAAGTATTTTCCCGGCAAGAGACCACAAACAGAGTGGGGGGAGTAAAAAAAATCATGTATTAAAGTGTTGATGACGATGTTAATGTTGATGATGATGTTCATGATGATGTTAATGTTGATGATGATGTTGATGATAAAGATGATATTGAAGATGGTCGTGATGATGTTAATGTTGATGATGGCGATGATGATGATGATGATGATGATGGTGGTGGTGAGGATGATTGTGATGAGAGGAAGACAATGATGTGGATGTTGAGGAGGAGGAGAAGAGGATGAAATTGAGGAGGGTGGCGTTGAGGAGGAAGACCGATCTCAAGACCGGGAAGCACACTTTGTGCGAGCCTGCGCAGTTGAAATGCACATGGACAGGTCACAAGAATACAAGAGGCATTTTGTGGAAATTTAGGGGAAAATGCCGTACACGTATCCCGCGGCAAGCATTTTGTGCGAGCCTGCGCAGTCGAAATGCACATGGACACGTCACAAGAGGCATTTTGTGTAGTAGAAATTTACAGGGAAAATGCCGGACGCTTCCGATACCACCTCAATTGAACACCGGGCCTTAACTGTTACCGTAAGAACCCCTCAGCGTGGCCACACTGTTTGGGGAGAAAAAGGGTATAGTAAAATCCCCGAAGAAATCATCAACCGACCATCATTTATCAATGATGTCCCCATATTGTAAATGGGTAAATTATAGATGTGTCTGGGTAAATCATACTAAGTCACTGACATGAAAAGTTCGGCGATTTTGGCATGGTTACCCTGTAAATTTCCCATCATTCCAGGGTTCGGGAGAACAGTGAGGTCCTTCTAATTTACCCAGATTAATTGCCAGTCCATGAATCATCCCATTCATTATTAATACTTTAGCTGCTGTCTGGCAGATGCGTTCAAGTGGGAGCATGTTGTGCACCAATCGCATCAAATCTTGCACAACTCGAAAAACACGAGGCTCCCGATTGGCATCGGGTGTGTTGCTGTTTCGACGTGCTCTTCTTGATCTGTCACCTCTGGTGATTTCATATGGCGTGTCCGCAGCGATCTGACGCTGCTCAGAAGTCACGTGCTGAGGTCGGCGCGGCCCTTGTGGCCGTGAAAAAAACCAGGCTGCCTCGGTTCCACGCGAAAGTGGTGCTGCAAGTCGTTCAGACTCTGCTTCATCATGGAATCCTGCCAGTGACCTAAATTCAAGCCGGACAAGATAGCTCCTACCGCTTCACGAAAAACCTCACTCCATGAGTCTTGTACAATTCTGTCCCAACAAATCGTGGCAATGAGTCACTATTAATCATTATGAGTCACTATCAATCACTATAATGGCTAGTTATCTATGAACCCACATTGATCAACGAAGCATCACTTATTGTATTTATCAATATGACCCATGTTGCTAATAGTTAAAATTTCTTAAAACCACCCTCAATGATGGTTAAATCACCATGTTCCGATAGTTTTCCTATGGTTTACCACCATTTTCCTATGTTTTTTTTTAGGGAGTTACCATTAAATCACCATTTTCCGATGCTTTCCTATAGTTTCCATTGACCATATGGTCACCAACGACCGCGAGGTGTTGGTAACTCCACCTCCTTGATGAGCAACATGATCTCGCCCAGACGAAAGACGCAGTCCTGACGGAGCCAAGGGATGCCAAAGGATTGATTAAAGCAAGAAATAACCAGCTTCAAATCGAAAAAACAATGGAGATTTATAGAGATATCATAGGGATATCATAGAGACATCATAGGGATATCATAGAGATATCATAGGACTATCATAGAGATATCATAGGGATTTATGAGGATTTTTCTGGGAATTATAGGGGTCTCTGAAGATATGTTAGGATTTAATTGGGATTTGACCTTGAAATCAGGTGCCCCTTTGCGGTTCCCATATCTGCCTCCTGGTGCATCCCAGGAATCGTAATCCCATAATTTTGGCCAATCTATATCTGGGATACACATGACATGGTTTTCAAGATTGTTATTATATGCGGTGTTCAAGATGTGTTATTGTAACACATTCAATGAAAACCCACTGAATTCCAATCTGATTATTGGATGTTATTGGGTTATTAATACCACTAACTAACTAGCTATATTAATGTGGTATTGTATCTACATGATTACTGATTACATATAACAGTTCCAATATGGGAAGACCTCTGGATACTTAATAGATTCTTAATAGTATATTTTCCGACATAAATTCGAAATTTTCCTTATTGTAACATGGTAACTACCTGTACCGTATAACCTGGGATGCACATCCATTCCACCAGGGGTTTCGTAGTTTCACCATGTTTCACCCCCCCACATGTGCTCGTCATCTCAACCAATCATCCATATGGTTGACATACATACAAGGTGGTGCCCCCGTTCGATAGCTAAGTTGGTGCTTAGCTAACTCCAAAAACTATGGTTTATAGGTGATATATCCATAGTTCATGGGTTTATAACCAATTTATAACTCGGGGGGGCACCATTTTGTATAGAACATCTTTGAATCACCAGTGAAATATCATTTTCTGTTTAAATCGATGCAAAATCCTCTTGATTCGTGTCAGGTGTGAACACTGAGGGGGGTGCTGAAATCATAAGCCCATCAATAAAGAGAGTCTGATCTGGGTTCCAAAGCAATGAACGTTGGTGTTTTGGCAGGGTTCATGTTTCGATTCACGATTTGTATTCACAAAAGAATACAAACATGAACCCAACCCAACTCCAAGGACCCTTGTATCATCTTGTATCATAATATTGTATGGTTGATTGGTCCAAGGCGGGGTTTGTCGGGTTTATACTATTTAATTTGATGGGGAAAGACGCCCTAGTTTCTTTTGACTATTTATGCTGGCGAAATCCCAAGTAATCCTCCAATTTTCGGATGGTACCCTATCCATTTTCAAGAAAATCAACCTAATGATCTTGAGTCTTATCCAAAATCTATCCAACTAGATTCTAAGGTATTTTCAAATTATTCACCCAACTTTCTATGATCTATGATACCTTATCCTAATGATCAAAATTGTGTTCACCCAGCTTATCCAATTTTCCCCAGATCCAGAGTTTAGGGCTGGTCCTTGTCGGTGTCATAGAGGTGAAAAGTCACAGCCAAGGCACCTCAAATTCAGAAATTTGGTGCATTGAAAAAAGGATGTATTTGGCACAAAACAAGATTTGACCAACAAAGACTATTATTGAATTGTGGTATTTAACACTAACAATTGTTGTTGGCGACAATCTGGTGACATTAATTGTCAACACTAAGATGAATCGCACTCCAAGTCAAGGTATGTATTGGTCAAGACTCATTTTGTCTATGGGATTTTCTTTGGTCTCTTCTATCGCCATGATCATTAGTAGAGAGTCAGCTTGCATGACTCCAGAGAGGGCCAGCAAATACTTCGATTCCTGCCCTTCTTTGGCTTCGAGCTCCGCCCTCTTCACTTGGAAGATTGCTACTCGGGGAAGTATCCGTGTCTTGATTCTTTTCCCCAAAGAGCACTTTTTTGTTTGCTGATCTTCTTCGTCCGATTCGTCCAACCAAAGCCACGATACCATGGCCACCGTTTCAGGGCTGTTGTGTGGAAATTCCACGCGGCCGGCCAGCCTGCGTGGAAGGGGACCGTCCTGCAGCGAGTATTTCCTTCTCTGTGGTAATCAGATCTCCGGTTTCGAGGACGACATCTGGGATCTCAGAAGGTATCTCTCCTGTGCAGTCCTCCACATCTGGCACGGAAACGCCAAGGCGAGCCCATCTTCTCTTGAAAGGGTCCGCATCCTCCTTTCTTGCTATGTAAATTCCCGGGATGATTTGTTGATCATTGTTGATCCCTATTATTTGTTTTTTTTGATGCCTACGCCTCCATAAATGGGGATTCCCAAAATGGTTGGTTCATAATGGACATTCCTCTTGAAATGGATGATTTAGTGCAGGTAGTTTAGTATAACCCATGTCATAATCGACCAACTTTATTTTGGTCAATCACTTTACAAAGGGATGCCCCATTTGCACAGCTAAGCTAGCAAAACAACAGATGACTGTAGCTGTTGGGTTTATAGGCACCACTATGCAGTGAAGAATCGATCCCTAGATTGAATTTTGCTGGGTGGTTCGTTGATCCCCGCGAAAGTTCTTCAAATTTTGGTAGAACAAATACGGTGTTGACTTGTCTACTCCCAAAAAAGGCTAAACATCTACTTGTGCATGGCTACAATCTGTAGTCCATTGGCAAGTAGAAATGTCATGAAATTTCAAGTTCTGTCTCAATCAGAAGTGGTCCTGGATTATTTTCACTGAGTGGCGCAAACTTCTGCATATATGATGGTGCTTTGGGAAATACTCCCAGCCACGATTCAAGTTATCAGATGTTGTCAGTCATCGGGATGAGCACAACTTATTCCAATTGAAGTTTCAAGATCTCAACCTTTACCAAATGCATGTGCACCCCGTTTGCAGGGGGCCGAATCAAAGGTTTATGACAACTTCGTTTCAGAAATATTCTGAATCCATTTTAGTCACTTGATACCTGGGTGCCGACGCAACCCGGAAGATTGATACAAAAAACCGGGACAACCACATGAAATCTTCTTGCTTGTCCGGTAGGCCAGATATATAGATATCAAATGAAATAGCTACTATTTACTAGTGGGCAATCAAATGAAATCTTCTAGTTTTCTGTTTCATTCACTAGTAACTAGATGTAACTAATATTTCAAACTGGTATTGACATGCCTTCCAAAAGTCAGAACACTCAACACAAGTAGGAGACTTGAATTTGGTACTGTTTGTTCACACATCTCTGAATGACCCTGTTTGGATTGTTGACCAAAGGACTGAGGTGACAGGATCCAACATGAACCAACCCAGGGTGTACAATTTTCTTGGTACATTTCCCCAGTTAATTTATCCATATATCATGATTCGTCTGTTGCCCTAAAAAATTGATGCGTATTGGTTGCTAAATTTTCCATCTTCCTTAACTCATCCAACGCTTGAAAAATGATCGGCACAACCCAAATTTGAATGGACTCAGATTTAAGAATAAGGAAGTCCCCAAAGGTCAAGAAATCCCAAGAAATCCCAAGAAATCCCAAGAAATTACCATCCACCCACCATGGTTTTCTGGGTCTCCGGGGTCCCCGGCGTGTGCCAATTGGGCGTCCATTCAGCAAGGCACGAGCCAGGCCCATGGCTGCGTGCCAACGTTTCCTGCAAGGCGACAGCGCGAAGGGGGGGATGGTTTTGGGGAGATCTATTCAATGGCCATTTCAGGAACCCAAATTGGAGGTACCTACCATATATAAGGCCAATTCTTCAGGCCTATGTAAGGGAATATACCCACAAAATATGGACTATGGTACAGTACCTCCATTTTAGGATCCTGAAATGGCCATTGATCTATCTATCTATCTATCTATCTATCTATATGTAGGTATGTAGGTATGTAGGTATGTAGGTATGTAGGTATGGAGGTATGTATGTAGGTATGTAGGTATGTAGGTATGTAGGTATGTATGTAGGTATGTAGGTATGTAGGTATGTAGGTATGTAGGTATGTAGGTATGTAGGTAGGTCGGTAGGTATGATGTATGTATGTATGTATGTATGCATGCATGCATGCATGCATGTATGTATGTATGTATATATGTATGCGGGTTTATCAAAGGAAGTTGGGAAGCAATCTTCCGAGTTGCGGATGACTTTTACTCAAGTGACTTCACATCACATAACAATACATCATGAAGGGCGGTGTGAGACTTTACATCACATAACAACATAAGAATGCATCAAGGGAAGTGGTGACTATGACGAAGGGTGGTGACGAAGGGTGGTGACGAAGGGAAGTAGTGAAAAGGGAATATGGTGACTTTGGGAACTATGACGAAAGGTGGTGACCTAGGGAAGTGGTGACGAAGGGTATATGGTGACTTTGGGAAGTGGTGACTTAGGGAAGCAGTGACCCAGGGCAGTGGTGACGAACGGAAGTGGTGACGAAGGGAAGTGGTGACTAAGGGAATTGGTGTCTGAGGGAAGTGGTGACTGAGGGAAGTGATGACGAAGGGTGATGACGAAGGGTGGTGACGAAGGATGGTGACTTAGTGAAGTGGTGACTAAGGGCAGTGGTGACTAAGGGCAGTGGTGACAAAGGGAAGTGGTGACGTGCTGAATGAATGCGCACGTGCTGCTGCGAAGGGTGGTGACGAAGGATGGTGACGAAGGATGGTGACTGAGGGAAGTGGTGACTAAGCGAAGTGGTGACGTGCTGAATGAATGTGCACGTGCTGCTGCGAAACGCAATGTAATGGCTCTGTATGAATATTGCATGGGGCTGGTTTTGGGGAGGAAGCCGGAGCACAAAACCGTATGTTTTTCCGTGTAAAGTGGCTGCAGGCGACGATGAAAGGCAGCTCGTGTGTGAGGCGGTTGCGGTTATGCTCGTTTTGATGTTTTTAGGTTCTCCCTTGGTGTTCTGCACTTTGCGTGTCTTCGTGTGTGCGTAGTTTTGTGCGGTTGTGAAAAACATGATTGCAGATCGCATTGTAATGGCTGCATGAATGTTGTCATGTTCTGTTGCCATGTGCGTAGAGACATGCGGGTTTGCCACGTGATGTTGCTAAAAGCATTGTAATGGTTGCATCAAGGTTGCTTGGTGCCGCGGCTGCATGCGTAATACTATTGTCTTTTGCAGCTGGACACCGTAAATTGTATTGGAGTGGCTGCATCAAGGCTGCGATAATGATTTGTCAGCAGATTTTTGCAATTTTGGCGCTGGTGATTTTCCTTTTAAATTTCCTTTTGAAAAGTGCTTCAAAATCGTGTTTTTTTTCTTTGGCGCCGAGATCCGGTTTTGAAGCTGCAATTTGTGCTGTCATTATGTACAAGAAAGCTTCTCTTTGTAAACACTTCTTTGTGTAAAAGCTTGCTGTGATGCTGTGTGTAAAGCTTTCTGTGTGTAAAATCTTTCTGTGTGTAAAAGCTTTCTTTGCCTCTTTGTGTAAAAGCTTTTCTGCGTAAAAACTTGCTGTGTGTAAGCGCGTTCTTTGTGTAGTAAAAGCGTGCTGTGTGTAAAAGCTTGCTGTGTGGTAAAGCTTGCTGTGTGTCAAAGTTTGATGTGTTTTGGGAAGTGTTGTGTGCAAGCTTTCTAGTACAAAGTAGTAGTGGGAAGTACTCTGTGCAAGCTTTGTAGTACAAAGTAGTACAGGAAAGTGCTTTGTGCAAGCTTTGCAATACAAAGTAGTACTGGGAAGTGCTTTGGATAAGCTTTGTAGTACAAAGTAGTACTGGGAAGTACTCTGTGCAAGCTTTGTAGTACAAAGTAGTACAGGGAAATGCTTTGTGCAAGCTTTGTAGTACAAGGTAGTACCGGGGAGTACTTTGTGCAAGCTGTGTAGTACAAAGTAGTACAAGGAAGTGCTTTGTGCAAGCTTTGTAGTACAAAGTAATACTGGAAAGTACTTTGTGCAAGCTTTCTAGCAGAAAGTATACTGAGACGTACTTTGTGCAAGCTTTGTAGTACAAAGTAGTACTGGGAAGTACAGTGTGCAAGATTTGTAGTACAAAGTAATACTGGGAAGTACTGTGTGCAAGATTTGTAGTGCAAAGTAGTACTGGGACGTGCTTTGTGCAAGCTTTGTAGTACACAGTAGTACTGGGGAGTGCTTTGGGCAAGCTTTGTAGTACGAAGTAATACTGGGACGTGCTTTGTGCAAGCTTTGTAGTACAAAGTGCAAGCTTTGTAGTACAAAGTAGTACTGGGAAGTACTATGTGCAAGCTTTGTAGTACAAAGTAGTACAGGAAAGTGCTTTGTGCAAGCTTTGCAATACAAAGTAGTACTGGGAAGTGCTTTGGATAAGCTTTGTAGTACAAAGTAGTACTGGGAAGTACTCTGTGCAAGCTTTGTAGTACAAAGTAGTACAGGGAAATGCTTTGTGCAAGCTTTGTAGTACAAGGTAGTACCGGGGAGTACTTTGTGCAAGCTGTGTAGTACAAAGTAGTACTGGCAAGTACTTTGTGCAAGCTTTGTAGTACAAAGTAGTACTGGGAAGTACTGTGTGCAAGCTTTGTAGTACAAAGTAGTACTGGGACGTGCTTTGTGCAAGCTTTGTAGTACAAAGTTGTACTGGGCGTTAAAATTTAGATTCAATTGGGAAGATCAACAAAAGGTATTAGGGAGTATTAAAATCACACCCCCGTTAACCTTTAGATTCAATTGGGAAGATCAACAAAGCTATTAGGGAATATTAAAACCCACCCCTGTTAAACTCTACATTCAATTGGGAAGATCAACAGAGGTATTAGGGAATATTAAAAATTTAAACCCACCCCCGTTAAACTCTACATTCAATTGGGAAGATCAAGAGAGGTATTAGGGAATATTAAATTCCCAACACTGTTAAACTTTACATTCAATTGGGAAGATCAACAAAGGTATTAAGGAATATTAAAATCCCACCCCCGTTAAACTCTACATTCAATTGGGAAGATCATGAATATGTTGATGATGATGATGATAATGATGATGATAATGATGATGATGATGATGATGCTTTGCCCGTCGTCATTGCGCGCAAAGCCCAGGCATTTGCCGTATACATATATTGATAAATATATATATATATATGTGTGTGTGTGTGGCCAATCTTAGAGACCCTGCAAACAAAAATACACATTCTTAGCTGGTTAGTAGAGAATCCCATTGATAAAACTACCCGTCTAAGATTGACCTACTGCTTGGTGGTTGAGCCGCCCCTCTGAAAAATATGAAAGTCTGTTGGGATGATTATTCCCAAGATATGGGAAAAACATGTTCCAAACCACCAACCAGCCAACATACAAAAACTGGGGGGGTCAAGAAAATGGGTGGTTGAAAGCCTATGAATAAAGGGGATAAACAACCTATCAACTGGTGCAGGATATCTTCCATCCACAGTAGTATATAAGCCAACCAGATTATGGCTCAACTCTGACCACCGCAGACGGGCGAAATTGCTGCGCTTCCTCTGTTGCTCTGGCTGTTCGGCTTTGGTGGCCTGGTGCCAAGCCTCGGCAAAAAATCGCGAGCCCAGAGGAGATTTATATGACATGTATGTATGTATATACATATGTGATGAATATATTATATGTCTATAATTGTATATATTTCGCCATCCAGGAATATTGGACACGAAAACGTGGGATATTCAATGGATGACCCTCGGTCCATGTGGAGTTCATACGGCAAGGGGAAGTCACCTTTGATGGAGAAAACCACTGGCAAAACTCAGATTCTAGTAGAAAAAACATGGAATTTCAAGCAAAAAACAAGGATTCTATCGGATTCTACCCAGAAGAAATAGGTAGACCGGCACCTTAAAAAGCACAGTTGTGACAGTCGGATGGGTATATGGCCGAGATTTTTAATGGAGGCCCACGGCAAGCAGCTATAAAATTGGCCTACAAACCGCAAACGCTGGTAATATTTATGCAAAAGGACATATCATTATCGTGAATATGCGGTTTAAAGAAATATAGCAAGTCAATCTTGCGATATAAGTAACATGGTTAGCTGCATTGTAGGATAGTCGAAGTGGACATGGCCAACATATTTAGATTCTCTTAATTGGCTATGGCATTCCTGTTGGGGCCTGGATCTCCCGAAAAGTTGTTTCTTTATCTGGCAACATTTTTTTTCATATATACATCATAGGTTTTCCTGGCGATCTTCCCTCAGTACCCATGGCAAGTCAAAAATAAACCACACAATTATCAAACTAAGGATATCCCAAACGATACCCTCTGGTAAACATACAAAAAACTATGGAAAGATCCACCATTTTCAATGGGTAAATCCACGAATTAAATGAGCCATGTTCAATAGCTATGTAACGGTCATTACAAGAGGGTACTTGGTGGTTCATCCCACTTAGTAAGTGGGTTATAACCCCAGTTGTAAGTGGATTAACCCTACTTATCCCATGTAAATCACTGGGGCTATAACTCACTTACTAAATGGGATGAACCACCAAGTAATCCCCTGATGATTCTTGAAATTTATCGTTTTCTCGGATTTGTGGAACCCACGTATTTTTCTACATGGTAAATCCTGCAACACCTGCAACATCTATCTCCGAGATGGGTGATATGGGTTGCCTTGAAAGTAGGGTACCATAGGGTACCCCATTTTTATCCACTGGCTGATCATCATAGTCCCTGTCAACTTCATTTTCTGGGAAACTTGGCCAATCTTAGATTCTGGTACCCTACAAAAGAAAGGGTACTTTTGACTGGTTAATAAATGGAGGTTTCCTGAAATAGCGGTACCTCCAAATCATCGCTATTTGGGGGTTTCCTAAAATGGAGGTACCCTTTGAAAATGGTTGGTTTATAATGGAAAATTCTCTTAAACTGACCCTTTATAGCAAAAAAACAAGTTGCATCAGACTATCCATCAAGTCGGCATAGATAACCAACGTGGCACGACTGCAGCCAGCCGTTCGGGGCCGTAGAAGGCCGGTTTTCTTCACTGAAAATCAAGTCGGTTGACCAGCACTAAAGTTACCTACTCAAATAGACTAATCACTAAGTATTCAATTATTTGCCGATTTAAAACATGTATTTGTTTTCCATAACTATCCCAGATCCTCCATGTATGGAATATTTACCTACGTTTGCCCCAAAAATTGCCCAAATGTCTAGGTAAATATTCCATACATGGAGCATCTGGGTATGTTAGATTACCAGAGGGTACCCCATGTCTGAAACCCAGATCGAATCTTTCCAATGTCGGCCAATGTCGGCATCTGAGCTTCCACACCGCGTCACGAATCACGCCGCGCACCTCGGAATCTCTGATCTCAATGTCAAAATCCACCGAATTCATGTGTTTGTTGGGGAACATCCAAAAATGGGAGGGTTCCATAGTCATGGGTCCCAATAGCTGGATGGTTTATCTCGTGGAAAATTCATCTATAAATGACACTGAAATGGATGATTTGGGGGTACCCCCCAGTTCAGGAAACTTCCATCCATGAGAGAATGGATTTACCAGTCTATGGGGGGTGTTTTGCAAATCTTTCTTTAAACCACCCATAAACTGGCACCAAAATAGGGGCGTCTTGAAAATCCACAATTCATTTGAGGGAGGATGGATGATATGGGCAAGCAGCCAATGACATGTGAGTTTCACCGACATTTTTCCATGGGGGTCTAGTACCATAAACACATGGGAACATCTAACTAACAGTAAATGGGGGCTTCAATACAACGCTTTGGGTATCCCAATGACGAGATGTCAAAAACCTACGTTGAAATTTGAAATCCCCCCCACATATCCTAAATTAATGGTGAGATAAGAGAGATCCCCAGCTCATGAATTATTATTATCACCAATATATAAAGGGTAGTATATCTAATTTAATCGTCAATCAACTACAGGTTTCGTGAAATAATTGATTTGGTCCAAACAAGGAGGGACCAAAACATGTAATTCTCATGGGCAAGATTCATCATCGTTCTCAACCGTAAGATGTTGGGGTGACCATACTTTCAAACGAAGCCCTTTTAGTGGAAGATGACATTGAAACAAAACATTGATATTCACCAGCCGGTTAACCGTCCACGACCATACATACACTGCAAACAAATCTGTTTGTTGTACATGTAATATATATATATACATATGGGGTGTCTCTTAGGGGTTACCCCAAACCATGGATTCTAAAACTAAAATTGTCTGATTTTGGGTGAGTTGGAGGTACCCCCATTTTAGGACACCTCCACAAATATATATATATATACATATCTGGGTAAATTATAGCAGTTCACTAACCTGAAACTTGCGGCTATCTTGTGGATGATGATTCCCCGAATCCTAACCATGATTATAGTGAGCGAGAACAGTGAGGTCGCGATTAAATTTACCCAGATAAATTGATTATAATCCCATGAAAACTATAGATATATCACCAACAAAACCATAGCTATTGGACTTATATCTGATATTAACCATCCAATGAATTGGGGCGCATAAATATATATATATATATATACACATATTCCCTTGAAAGGGCCCATCCAAATGATTTCCCAGTTATGTAAGCTCTATACCCATTATTGGTCTTCAAATCTCATTTTGTTGGCAAATCTCATTTTGGTGGAGAATTTTAATCACTATTAGTCATTCTTGATAGATGATGTTCTCACTGAAAGATCCATTTATAGTGGATTTCCCTGTGTATTCTTGTTTTTTTCCGTTGATGTAACACTTTTCTATCTATTTTGAATGGAGAATTATCCCCATTTCCAAGCGCCGGACTGCATTGTACCAAATAGGAATGTCCTGTGGCCGGGGGTTTCCAAAAATGGAGGGTACCATAGGGTACCTCAAAATGGATGATTTGTGATGAAAAACGCCGAACAAACCCATGAGTTCGGGGTTCCCCCATTGATAGAAACTCTCAACTGCATTGCCTGGGGCATTTCCGGAAAAAACAAACCGATGGACACTTGGAGGTTACCCTAGGGCAAACTGACACAGACATGGACAAGACATGGGGGGTTCTTAAAATGTGGTATTAAACCAGTTTCAATACTCAAATGATCTAATTTTAGATGATTTGGGGGTACCCCCATTTCCGGAAACCTCCTGACATAGGGGAAATGAACCTCCTGACATAGGGGAAATGATGCTGAAATGGTGGAACTGGAAGTTCACAGCAAGAATTCACATGGCAGTCAAGCCGCACAAGCGCTATGCCGGCTATGCCTATATGATTGAAACAAACATGGATCATGTTTGGAACCAAGTTGCAGGGGCAACCGTTAGCGTTTCTATCAATAAGGTGTGGGCCCCTGGTACCGTGAACATTCAATGCTGAGAAATGGAAATTTCCTGTCGTTTACCCAACAATAATAAACCATCCCCACGTTTGACATTTACTGATTGGTGGTATACCTACCCCTCTGAAAAGTATGAAAGTCAATGGGAAGGATGACATCCCATATATTACTGAAAATAAACATGTTTGGAACCACCAACCAGGAGATATGGTGAACTTGGTAAAAAAAACCATTTAAGTTTGTCTGAAGCCTGGGTATATCGGTATATCATCATTGTTTTCCAAACGACCAACCAGTTTATTATTGGGTTGACTGGGACGATAATGATCCGCCAATGCTTGGTGAATGGGACGGTGACGATGGCGGTAAATCCCACACTACCCTGTGGTAATTTGTTACATAGCTATTGAAAATGACCATTTTCCCATTAAAAATACCATGTACCCTCTGGTTATGTCAAAATAGCTATTGAAAATTGCCATTTCTAGTCAGTTTTCCCATTAAAAATTGTGATTTTCCATAGTTATGTTAGTTTACCAAAGGGTACTCTTTTTGCGATGTCAACCGATCATTCTGTTGGCGAACTCTGTGCTGACACAGGGCCTTTTTTTTAGGTCCCACTCCAATGAAACAGTTGATGGCTACGACCTTGACTTGATCAAGTGAGATCATCATCCCATGGTTCAAAAACATACACTCGAAACCAGCAACCAACATCAACCATCATCAACCAACTACTCTTCGCATTCAAAATTTCTTTGATTCATACAAATACATTTTTTATTCTTGCACGCTTTGGATCCCCAAAACATCTATCTCCCCCCAAACAAATACTGCCTAAATGTCGCATCTAATTGGTGGTTTCAACCCCCCTGAAAAATATGAAAGTCAGATTGAATCATCATCCCAACTAGGAAGGGGAAAATAAAAGTCATGTTCCAAACCACCAACCAGATACAGTCATGTTACCATGATTTTCACCCACCAATTTCCGGTCGAAAAAAAAAAGGTCTGTCCTGGTCACCTTCGACGGAGAAGCTCAGGTTGCCACCATACATCAGAATCTCGGCGCCCATGGTGATCCGTCTCCGAAACCCACGGAACATAGGAAAGGACACCGTGATACACCATGATAAACCATGATAAACTATGTTTTCTAGCATAAAAAATGATTTTTCCCTGTAACAGTTGGCCTTCAACCGGTTCGAGGGATGAAGAGCAATATCTTCGATATCCCCATGATATCTCCATGAATAACACCAACAACAACCATCAAACTCTGATTTTTTCGTTTTTGTTTCACTGTTACTGTTGTAATTCTTAAAAAACTGAGATGGTAGTTGTTCATTGATGTTTCACTGTTTTTGTTTCACTGTTGTAGTTGTTCAACAAAAACTGTGTGATGGTAAAACAGAATTTTCCATTGATTAGTGTACATATATATATACATATATATATACATGTATATATATATACAGATATACATTATATATATACATATATGTATGTATATATATATATATATATATATGGTGTCATACATTTCTTCGTTCGAAAACCTTTGTCGCTGGTTGTTACACACATGACATGTAATCATATCCATTGCATTTTGCAAATATTTATGTTCCATAACATTTCCCCATACTTCGTCGGTTATATATTATATGTTATTGATATTCCATAAAGGATCCACAAACTCACCATCCAAATCCCTCAGCCAATTCGCCAATTTGAAGGTTTCCTAAGAGAGAGGGTGCCCCCAAATCATCCAAGTCATTAGACCATACCAGTATTGAAACAAAATGCTGACTTGGGCATTCCCATTTTCAGAAAGTATTAATTATAGGTCGTCTGAAAATAGTTGGATATTAAAATCCATTATTGTCACTGGAGAATACCAAAAAAATATCAATAAAATTAATATCCATATCTGGTTGGTGGTTGATATACCCCTCTGAAAAATATGAAAATCAGTTGGGATTATTCTTCCCAACTGAATGGAAAAATCAAATTAATGTTCCAAACCACCAACCAGATATAATAGTATTAAAACAAAAAACAATAATTTAATATCCATGTAATCATATACCCTCTGGTTATTTAACATAGCCATGGAAAATGGCCCATTTATAGATGATGTTCCCATTAAAACCTCCATTTATAAGGGATTTTCCATGGCTATGTTAAATAACCAGATGGTAATAGCATTAAAACACCCCAATTTCTGCTGGCTTCTCCCAAGTTTTTCTTCCGCCGAGGCACGGTGAACTGCCCGGCTGCGATGTCAAAGTTTTCGTCGCCCCGCTGCACCACCACATCCTCGGTGAAGCAATGGAAGTTCCGGGGACACGAAGGGTCTCTACTCCTGTACACCCCCAAAACATAGCAACAAATTGGGATCAAAGTTCCCAAACAACTGGATTTTGCCAATGAAAAATGTGGTGTTGAAGCAAACCAATCAAAAACGCCATGTTAATCCAAACCACTCATGTTCAAAGGACGACAAGACATATGCACACCACACGTTCTTTTTGTCAGCTTAGTGTGAAACCATGCGGAAACCCGTGTTATGTTTCCGGGTCGTCTAAAAAATTGGAACACCAAATTCCTGTTGGTTTATATCATATATCTTCAGTTTGCATTCCATCAACTACTTGGGGGCCCCTTGGTGGATTATCTTGTAGACCCTGAGATCTGGAATGGTTTTTCCCCATACCTTGTTATTTCCATAATATCATAATGGGGATAGCTAGGATATTTGTGTTTTTCTAACTTCCATGCGGGAGGGTTGTAAAATCATATTCAAGCCATGAAACCAATGAAATTTCATGTTTTTTGTTGTGTTTTGTTCACTTCCTTTCACTAGAACTGTGGATCACAGTTGCGCAATGTTTCTTCCAACACATGTTTCGCGGCCCAGTTATTGTTTGAAATCACCTTACCGTCACCTTCTTCTAGAAAATCTCACCGTGCCACTGTCTGGCAAGAGCGTTGGTTTTCAAGAAAGAATCTTCCTTGGGTTTGCTGACTGCGGGATTCTTTATTTCCCTGACATTTTTCCCTGACATTTTTTTGGGTATGGCGTTTGTCCGTTTGTCCTCCTTTATTCCACAAAAATTGTCTGTCAAAGAGGGTATATCATAAGTGCATGGCGCTCTTTGTTCCTTCCATGTCATACTTTCATGTTGTCCTGCGAGCAAAAATCTGAGCAAAACTAAGCACCAATGGTTCTTCCAAACTTTGAACAGATTTTGTAACGCACTGACCCCGGGAAGATGATGTTGTTCGTATCTAAAGGCGCACGTTGCAGTTGACTTGATTTGAGCACCTTCTAAACCTTAAGGTGACTTTTTTGCGAGGTTGGAGGTAATGGCATGCTACGTGACATTCAGGATCATGCCCATTCAATAAACATGTTGCCAGCCAAAATGCTGGAGCGCTGCTCATCACTTCATCTTATTTTTTTTTGCAAGTCAAACTTCAAGCCACATGTTTTCAAAATCAGTTTATCCAAAGATGAGAATGGTGACGGACCAAAATGCTGGATATTGATTCAAACTGTTGTTTTGGTACATAGGTTCCTCATTATGTTTTTTTCTTGGATTCCAGAATTACCTTTTTTGTTGCATCTTGGAGGTCACAAGAAGGCTCATACAACTAAATTGTCAAGTGAAAGGTCCTTAAGAATTCTAGAGCCCTCCCTGTCAATCCCAAGGGGAGTACCATTCTAGATACCTTGAACTTGAGGGTATATATTAGGAATCAGATTTTGTTTTGTCAGGAAGAGACTTGGAAGAAATGAGAGCATGAATGAATACAACATGATAGAGCATTGTGGCACCATCATTGTAGATTTGTATGTACTAGAACTTTCAATATCCGAACACCAGCAATATCTTGCAACATGTTTTGCGATTCCTTGTGGCATCTTGTAAGATAGATAAATTATAGGTGCAGGGTCTATGGTATTAGGAGATCTTGGGGTCTACAGTGGTTCGAGAACCTCTTGAAGAGTTGAGGGCATCGCCATCGGTTTACAACATGATACACTATGTGATGATATGAACCATGATCAACAGAATATATGGGTTATAGTTTTGAACCCATA